AAGAAAAAGAAAATCCAGAACAGGAGTGTTCAAGGCCCCTTCCAAATCTRGATGGGGCACACTGAGAAGTGACACCAAGTCAGACGTCCCTCCAGGCCTATYTGTGCAGGCTGCACACTGCCCAGGGCTGCCACATCCCAGGGGCCCCTTACGTCATGGGTTTGTGTGTTTATTATGACGTTTCCAGCAGGTGGCAGTCGACACCGAGAGGCTTCCTAAGGACGGACAAGGATGGCTGCCACAGGAGTCCTGAGGGCACAGCTCACCTTCCCATTCCAGACGCAGCTGAGGAGCTGCAGCCATCCCGTCATTTAAAAAGTCATTCTTTGGTGCTACTTTTTCTTTTTTAAGTGCCATTCATGCCACACAAGATGAACCGTTTTAAAGTATGCATCTCTTGACAGAATATTCACAGTCGTACAAACACCATTTCCATCTAGTCCCCAAACACATTCAGCACCCAAGCAAAACCCTATACCCATTCAGCAGTCCCCCCCCACCCGGCCCCTGGCAAATGCCCACCTGCAGTCTCTACAGAGCTGCCCCTTCTGGAAGCCTCCTGTGGAAGGGTGTGCTGTGCCGTGCTCTGGGCTTGCCTTCCTTGGCTGCACCAGGTGTCCGAGGCTTGCTTGTGTCGCGGGTTGTATCAGTACTTTATTCCATTTTAGGACCAATATCTGTTCCTCGTGTACTTACCATTCTCGTCGATGGACATTTGGGTTGTTCCCACCTGATGTCCTTTTAAAAGTCGTGGGGAACATGGGTGGTAAATTGCCCACATCGTCATTGCAGGAGACACCCCGTCTCCAGGGTCAGGACAGGAGCATCTCCGTCATGCCGGTGCTCCCTGACCCCTCCCGGGTCCACAGCAACCCCACTGCAGAGACAGCTGCCTGGTGACCTCTGGAATGTGTGGGGCGCTCACCTACTCCTGAGCTCCCTAGCAGGAGCGATATGGGTCCAATTAATCCATGACATTCCGTGACATTGTGTCTCAGTTGTTGGCTCCTCCCTCCTGTTCGGTGGAGGTCTCTTGTGTCTGTCTCTGTGCTGACTCCTTCTCCAGCTAACAAGGACTTTCACGCTGTCCCCCTGTGACTCTCCCCTGGTGTTGCTCTGCTGTGGACATTTGAGCCCTTCCACTTTCTGGCTATGATAAATTGTGCTGCTGGGAACACTCTTGCTCCTGTTTGGGGGGCGGGTGAGTTCGGCTCTAACTGGGGTAGTGGTTACAGGGCTTCAGCAGGCTGTGTGTGTCCCACTGGTGGGGCTGAGCCGTCGCCAGCACCCACCCCCATCTCCAAACTCCAGTGCAAGACAGTTCTCAGGCTCTGGCACAGACCCTTCCAGCTGGGCCCAGGGGGTCCTTCAGTAGCTACGGGGCTGGGCAGAACTCCCTGGTGACCATGCAGTCCTCTTGGGAGGGCTTTCAGTCCACCCCTTCCTCTGTCTCCTAACGTGGTTAGTCCCTTTTGTTACTTGGCCTTCCCCAGAAGCAGACGATGAGGTGAAGGCCAAGTACAGGAGGTTGTTCAGGAAATGGTCCCAGAAAACACCAGRGGGACAAAGAGAAGGCCTGGGGGGGGTGGGGGAGGGAGGGATGTCCTAACAAGTCAGCCAGCACAACTGGGGATTAACCCAGGGAGGGACTGGGAGCTGTCCACTCCCTCCAGGAGTAAGTTGAGGGACCACTGCCCCACCTCCCATCTGTCATGGCCCAGGGCTGCAGCAGGGCCCAGGGGCTAACTCTGCCCCTGCTGTCTGCCTTCAGAAGAAGGCAAGAAGTGAAAGTCGCCTTGCCTGCCTGCCCACCCTCCCGAGCCAGTCACCATATTGTGCAGCTTATACCTGCACCTCTCTGGGCTCTTTCTCCACGTGGTCCAGGCCCCAGGGCGGCTCATCCACTCACCAGCCATAGCAGACCTTCCCAGAGGCCTGGTCTATGGCCTTGCGAAGAGACTCAACCTCTCCTGGCTGCTACTCCTGGGTGAGTTCCAGGGGATCCTGTTAGTGTCTGTTCAGAGCCGTGCCAGGAGGGGTGAAGAGTGAGACCCGTGAAACCCCAGTACCTCCGGCACGTGGTGGGTCCAGGCACGCGCTTTGCTTAAAAATCGTGACTTTATAATCATTCCTTCTCCTCCSGGTAAGTCCCGGGCTCCTGAATATGATCAGTAAGAAATGGTTCCCCTCTCCTTCCCCTCTGGCCACGGTGTCCAGTGGTGCCCCTGGGAAACCCCCACCTAGCTGTGTGCATGTGGCCYTCTATGGGAAATGGTCTTTGAAGATGCCACTAAGGATCTTGAGATGATGCCATCCCTAAATCCAGTGTCTAGCGTGCCTGTAACCCCAGCGACTCGGAAAACTGTCAGGAGGATCTCAAGTTCAAGGCCAGTCTTGGCAACTTAGCAAGACCCTATCTCAAAACAAAATGCAGGGGCTGGGCTGTGGCTCAGCGGTCGCGTAGCACGGMCGAGTCCCTGGGTTTGATCCTCAGCACCACATAAAAATAAATAAATAAAATAAAGGCATTGTTTCCAACTACAACTAAAAAAAATAAAAAATAAAAAAATAATAAAATGTAAAGAAAAAACAAAGAGCCGGGGACGGGCTGGGGATGCGGCTCAGCGGGTTCAATTTCAGGACAGAAAGAAAGAAAAAAGGAGAGGCCGCAGACCCTGGCCAAGAGGTGCAGGAAGTCAGGCAGGATGGCAGTGAGGCCACCATAAGCCTCGGAGGCCAGGAGCCACCAGCAGCTGGTGACAGGAGGAGCCTCCTGAGGAAGCAGGGCCTCTGCATCTGCAGGTCAGGTTTCTCCAAACGGGGAGAGGGCGATTCTCCTCCCGGCCCCCAGCTGGGGTAACCACCCAGGCGGCCGCAGGGGACGAAGCCAGTCACCAACGCCCCACGCACTGCATCGGTTTCGGATAGCAGCAGTGCGTGGGCTCACAGTCTGAAGGCTCAAGTCCTGACCCCAGCGAGCTTCCTGAGGGCTGAATGAGGGCCTCCTGGGCTCCCAGCTCCGGGAGGTCACTGGCGACCCCAGGCCTGGGGCCACGTCCCTCCCGTTGAGCCTCCATCCTCACACGGCTTCTCCCCGTGCCTGCGGTCTCTCCTGTGCCCAATTTCCCTCGCAGAAGGACACCAGTCATGTCTCGGTGAACCAGTGCCACCCTAGGCACGTCATTTTACCTTAGTCACCTCTTAAAGATCCTGTCTTCAAACAAAGCCACAATTTGAGCTAACGGGGGGTTAGGACTTCAGCTCTCTGGAGCGGGGAACAGTTCATCCCCAGCAATTCCATGCTCCAAGCTCTCCCCCACCCCAATGGCAGTGCCCAGTGTTGAGGGGCTCTGGTTGTGGCCCAGGCTTGCCCTGTTCCTGTCCCCTCTGGTGAATGGCAAGTGTTCTCCCTCCTCATGTGTAATGCCACCTCCTCCAGAAGCCACTGACTCCGAGAGGCCCACATACGCCACCACCCATCCCTGTCATAGTGCCCTGTCGTGGAGTGTGCTGTGTGACAGTGTGACTGATCACTGCTCACCAGCAAGCCTGGACACCAGGCCCCTGGAGGGCAAGACCGTGTTTCCTGACCTCCCCCATCCCCCCACCCCGCTCCACTTCGTTTTAGTACCAGGGATTTGACCCACTGAGCCACACCCCAGACCTTCTTCTTCTTTGAGACAGGATCTCACTAAGCTGCTTAGCCCCTTGCCAGGTCACTGCGGCCGGCCTCAAACTTGCAATCTTCCTGCCTCAGCCTCCCGAGTCCCTGGGATGACAGGCATGCTCCACCACAACGGCTCTTGGTTCTTTTCCTAAGCCACTTTAGTTAAGTGTGATTGATGTGCAAGCAGCTGTACACAAGGAATGTGTACAACTAGATGGGTCTGGAGATCGTATGCATATGACCCCGTCACCATAGTCTATGCCATAAACATGTCCATCCTCTCCAGAAGTTTCCTCTGGCCCACTTGATATTATTTTTCCACCCTAGGCTGGGCGGCAAGATCAGGTCAAGGGTCTTGTCATGGGCATGTGCACACAAGGCCTGTGGCTGGCCATGGTGAAGCCAAGGCCATCTAGGGCTCCTGCGGCATTGGACTCCTCCCTGGAGAGCCTGCCCCACCCTGCTGCAGGTCCAAGGCCCCTGACTCCCTCCCACAGTACCTGCATTCTGCGTCACCGGAGCAGGTGCATGCTGGGAGGCTGGAACCCTGTTCTTACAGGGCAGGGCAAAGGCCTCCCAGGAATGTGGAGGGGTGGGCAGAGATGGGCAGGTGGCCTTGGATTCCACCTGGCTCAAGAACRCCAGGTGGAGCAGAGAGTTGCCTGGGCAGGCCGGTGAAGGGCTGGAGGGAGAGCAGCAAGGGTGAGGGGCGGGGTGGTAGGACAGAGCAGGCTGAGCACCGGGCAGCGCGGACACCTTAATGAGATGGAAAACCTGCAGGATGACTGGTGTGGTAAGAGGGTGGAGATAAAACTTCTCTAGTTGGACAAGTTGAGTCTGTTTCCTGAAGGCATCTGGGGGGCTGTGGCTAATGGATGGGTCTAGGTTCTGTGGCCAGAGTCCTCCCCTAAACCAGCAGCAGCTGCTTGACCAAAATGCAGAGTCCCAGGCCCACCCTGACCTGCAGGGTCACAAGATACCCAGGTGGCTGGGGATGTGCTGGGCTAGGGCTTCCACATGGCYCCGCTGAACAGCAGCAGAGGCCTGGGTCTATAGCACAGGCTCTCACCAGGTGAGTGATTGTGTCCCCCGGCAAAGTCTGGAGACTTGGGCATACAGGAGTGGGGGGGGGGGTACTCGTGGCAGAGACCAGGGATTCTGTTCAGCATGTCCTACTGAATAGCTCAGCTGTGCATCAAAGTCATGGGTCCAGGGTCAGGTGTCCAGGCTGAGAAGCCAGAGTCTTCATGGACGCAGGAGAGGGTGCCCTGCGACTGTCCTGGGCCTTGTCCCCCTTGCCCAGCCCCCAAGCCACACAGAAAAGCCAGACGTGGATGAGTCACTTACAGTTTATTTTTGCCTGAAGTATTTCACATCTCTTTGTACACAGCTACGAGACAGAGTAGCAACCATCAGGAAAAGCGACAGTGCGGGGGGAGGTGGCATGTCTTGTTTCTTCTTCTTCTTCTTCTTTTTTTTTTTTCTTTTTTTAAAATTTTTTTTGCTTCTGCTTCTTCCTGCACCGGAGTGCTGTGAAGTACGGAACCGGGGTAAGAAAGTCAAACCAAACAACGGAAAACAACAACAACAGAAAACGGAACACAAAACAGAACACACTCACACACGCACACACCGGAAAACCTGGCACGAAAATGAAGTAAGACTGAAACCCAATTTCTTTTTTTTTTCCTTTTTTAAAAAAATGAGGGCATAGTAGGGGTAAAAGTCTACTAGCAAAGTATAAAACGACAAAGCATGTTTCCATCGAGTAAGATTAAATAGATATAAAACAATGACATCGACTGTGGGTTAGGTCTGAGGTGCCGGTGGGGGGACGTATTTGTGCTGAACCAACAGAAAAGGGAGCTGGGGGAGAGGGGGACCCCARATAAACCATCACGGGACTGTCCTGTACAGTGAGGGCTTGTTAAGAAAAAGCCAACCGTTATAAAAGAATGGAGGTTGTCTGTCTTCAGAACAGGTGTGGGGACAGGAACGTCTTCGCTGCAGTGGTCACGGTGATAGGGGTGGCTGGGCAGTCAGGCTGGCAGGGGCGAAGGATCTCTCTTCTCCCAGGAGACCATGCAGAGGCGGGCATGCGTGAGGGCCATGGGGGCAGGGACACGATGGCTGGGGAGGCCACAGGTCGCAAGTCCAGTAGGGGACAGGGAGGGACAGCAAGGGCTGCAGGGGGTTGGGAGCTGTGGGTGGGAGCAGCTCTTCTACCAAGGAGGGTGGGGGCTAGAGCCCCTTCCAAATCTGTGACAGGGGCCAGGAAAAGAACTCGGGCCTTAGAGGAGCAAGACTTGGTTACGGGGACCCCATTTCTTCCTCCTCCCCTGAGCCTGACCCCTACCCGTGGGAAGTGGAGATGTCTGGAAATCAGGAATACACAGAGGCAGGGGTGGGCAGGGAGCAGACAGACAGACGGGAGCATTAGCATACAGAATCCTTTACGAAAAAGCAATTAATTTTCCAAGGAGGGTCTTTTTTTTGTCTTTTGTTTTTTTTTTTCTTTTTTTTTTGTCTGTTTCCTTTAAAAAAATAACAATACTACCACTAACCCAACAGCTGACTGGTTGTACAGTACTACACGCCAGGGGGTGGGGAGGGGTCAGACTTCATAAATAAGAGCAGGTCCCAGACCCGCAATTTGTCAACATTTCTTAAATAGGTGCATTATTTAAATCTTATGTACAACAAGAACCACTTTGCATAGCAATGGTGAGGACACAGGATGGTGGGATGACGTGACTGGTCTTCTCGTCTGACGGCAGGGGCGGATCCCACTCAGCTCGGGCCTCCAGGAGGAAAGCTCCTGGGCTGGCGAGATGGCAGCGTCCCAGTTGACAGTGACATTCCCACACGGCATTAAACACAGAGGCAAAGAAAATCCACCAAGGGCCCCTGGCCGCCCCTTCCTGCCCCGCTGAAGCTCCTCTTGTTGCCACAAAGTCCGCTTTAGATCAGGTCAAGGTTCCGATTATGAAGCTAAAAGAATGAGGCGGGGCGGGCGTGCTGTGGACCCCTCCCCCGCCCCAGGCTCCCCCTCCACCCACAGCGGGTGGGACCCAGGACCTGCTGCCCTAGGCTATTAGTCAAGAGTCGCTGCTGCAACGTCCCTGCCACCGCCGAGCTTCACCAGGCTTCTGTGTAGCGGACGTCCACCTCCTTCAGATTAGGAAGCTTGGCCTGTGGACAGCAAGGGCGCAAGGGGGTCCCTGTCAGTCACATGCCACTTGGGCCTGGAAGCAGCTGGCATGGAGCGCCACCCTGCCCTCTCTCAGACTCTGCAGGCCGAGGTGGGTGAACCAGCTCTGCCGCTCACTGGCTGCCTGACCTGGAGCAAACCACGGCCTCTCTGGCCCCGATTCCTCCGTGTGGCAAACTAGAGGCACAGCCTCAGGCTGGAAGGACGGTGCTGGGGTGGACTACCCCGGGGCCTCCCGCTGTCTACTGCTGTCCACCCGCTCCGTTACCAGGCCGTGGGTGGGAAGATGGAGTGGGCATGGCTAGTCCCAGGTGTGAGGCGGGGGCACGCCCCCTGGACCTGGGGCGTCCTGTGACCCCACCTCTCCCTCTCAGCGCGGCTTCCACCTTTCTGTTCTGTGGCCGACTCTTCTTGTTTCTATTGGTTTCTTTCCTAAAAGCTTTCACTGTACAGAGGCAGCTGCCCCCTGCCTTCCTGCCTACCCAGCTTCCCTGGGCCCTGCCACAGGGAGTCAMAGATGTGTGCACACCCATGAACACACGCGCACTCAGGAAACTCCTGGCCACCACACTCCCGCACTCAGCAACCTGGGGCCCCACTGCCGGGCAGGGCGGCTTGCTGCGCCTGAGTCGCCGGGCAGCGTGGGAAGCACACGGAAGCCAAGCTTTCCAGACCAGGCGGCCCACGGAAGAATCTAGATTTCCAGGTTCTCTCCCAAAACAGGAAGATCAGGCCAGATGGGCAGCAAATCCCGTGACTCTGCCTGCCTGGCCAGCGCACAGGCCTCCTGCTCTGGGTCCTCAACACTGAAGCCGGCTGAAGTCCAGAATCACCAGGCTGGCACCACGCTTTTCTTGAGTGTGTGAAAATAAAAACTTGAAGAAGCAACTTTCCCCTTGAGCAGCCTTTTGGGCCCCCTGCACCCCTTGCTCCCCCTGCAGGGCACAGAAGCACAGGACTCTGGGCACCCGGATGCAGGGCACTTGGGGCTGCATCTCGGGCTGTGGTGAACAGGGAAGCCTGGGCGGGGTGAAGGCACACAACTAGCTCTGGCAGGCATGGGGCCCTGGCGCCGCAGCCCTCCCCAGCCAGGGTGAAGGTCCACGGCCCACTGGGCAGCACAGGGAAGACTCAGGAGTGGGTGGGTGAGGCTTGGTGGCCGTGCCCCCGCCCTTCCTGTCCCCTGCCTCCTCTGTGTGCTCATCTGGATGCTCTAAGTCCCTCTCTGCTGGCCGTCCCACCCCTCTTGCTGGTCCCTTTGAGCCCTTGCTTGCCAGGACTGAGTGTGCCTTCTGGGCAGAGGTCCTGGCAGCCACACCCTGGTGCCCTTCCCAACAGGGGCCTGGGGGCCGTGGGTCCTCCAGCGTCTGGAGCTTGACCTGAATGAGCCCTGGCTGTGGAGGTCTGCTGCGCAGGAGGTGCCACCAGAAGGGGCCACGGGAGCCCGGCTGGAGTGGGGCTTGGCCACGGCTGCTGGAGGAGTCCCTCTAAGAGGCTTCCAGTGCGGCTCGCGGGTGCCACCTGTGCCTTCTGGCCTTCAGACGCAGCCCACACTTCCTAGGGTGCCAAGTGCTGGCCTCACCTGCTCCTTCTGGAGCCGCTGGCCCAGGCCAGGATGGTGGCAAGCCCTGCCTGCCAACTCCCCGAGCAGCTCTTCCCAGAGTGCCAGCACTCGGGTCCTGCTCCTGCGTCCAGGGTTCTGTGGCCYACGCGTCCAGCCAGGAGCCCAGCTCCTCAGCCGATGGCACTCGCCCTGTGAAATGCTTTGCCTGCTTCTACTCTGGCTCCCACACACAAAAAAGCTGTTTTCCACACAAGGGCCTGAACAGGCTTTGAAAGCATAACTCGGCACCCTGCAAGTRCCCTTGTAGGCTTTCTGCTGAGTGGACGGAACCCAGAGGCCTCCTGCGACTTGCCAGGGCTTCTTCACCGGCCCTGTCTGTTCCCCGTCTCCCTTTCTAGCTCACGTGCAAGTCAGGTTTGCCTTCTCTGCCTCAGGGCCTTTGCTCTTTCTCTTGCCGTGGGCATCCCTGGTTCTGTATCTTTGGGTCTCAGTATACATGGCCTCTTCGAAGGGATCGTTGCTGGTTCCCCACACCAGTGGCCTCCCCTATTTCCGGTCTCTGCATGCCCTGCTGGCCTCCTCCTCACCAGCCCACCCACCCCACCTGCCCTCGATGCTCTCCTTCACCTGCTAATGTAACGGCCCCTTTACTGGAGAAGCAGCTCTATGCACCGACAGGTGGCTGCCTGCCGCAGGGAGGGCGTTTACCTTCAGGTCCTCGTAGGTGTCGGCCGAGAGCTTGGTGCTGTTCATGTTCAAACTGCAGAGACTCTTCATGGCTGCCAAGGCAAGAGACAGAGCTGGGCCTGCGGGAGGAGCCCCCTGCAGACGGGCGGGGAGCTGCCCCAGGTGGAGTCTACTCAGGCGCAGGTCTTGATTCTAGACCAGGGATCCCCAGAGCTYGCCTGACATACCCTGGACCTGCACAGGAGGCTGGCCCTTCCCCACGGGCAGCCAGGACGCTCTCTGGGAGGTGCAGGCTCTGAGCCGCTCCCCAAGCTTGGTGTGAGTCATGTGGGGATTTGTGGGGACACAGGTCCCTTGCCCATTCCCAGAAATGCTGAGGCTGGGACAGGTCCTGGAATCCACAAGGCCCATCAGACACGCTTTCCCATGATTCCGAGGAGCACACCTGCTGCAAACCTCACCCCTGGCCCCTGCCTCTCTCCCCAGCCCTGCTGCCCGACACCATCTGAACCGGCCCAGACCTTGTGGGGTTGTGACCAATGCCCAGAGCATCGCCTTCCGGGCCACCTCTTACCATCTATTGCCACATCCATAACCTACCACCTCTCTCGAAGCCTACTCTGGTCCCCTGCCTGCTGAGCCAGGGGCCAGAAAAGGGAAAGCCAGTCAAATGCAGATTTCCAGGCTCAATRCCCCCAAGATTACAGTTCATTAGGCCAGGGTCAGGGCACGGGGATCTGCATTCCAGGTCCCCTGAGGACCCTCAGGCTCTTGTGTTGGGCAGCGCTCCTCAATCTAGAATGGGCCTGGCAGTGGCCTGGGCACCTGAGTGCCAAGCAGTCTCTGTGGGGAAGGGTGGGCTGGACTCCCTCCTGATTTCCTTCTACTAACTATAGGCTCCATGAGGGCACAGACAGGCCCCTTTCTCTCTTGTTCCCACAAGTGCTTGGCAAAGAGCAGGTGTGCTTATATAGTGGATGCCAGTCATTCAGCACAGTGTGGGAGTACACGGCCCTCCCCACAACCCTGAGACTCACAGCTGAGGGCCAGCAGGCCGGCGTCGGTGACCGGGGTCTCGCACAGGTTCAGCACCTGGAGCATGGTGAGGTGTTCCGACAGGAGCCGCAGGCCGGCGTCTCCAAACTGTGGGCAGAGAGACTCTCAGCCACCCCAGGACCCCAGGCTGGGGAAGAGCTGGGGGGGGGGGCTGGAGCTGCTCTATGTCCCTCCAGGGAATCTGATGTCTGCCTGTCCTGGTTCAGATCCAGTTTCTGCTGGGGGCTGGGGGCCGGGGCCAGGGGCCAGGGGCGGGCCCTTCCTGGAGTCGGTTTCAGTGTCAAGGAGGCTCTGAACTCAAGTGACCCTTAAGTTCCCAGCAGCACCTGCTGGGCAGGACGGTGGCAAGGGTGGAACAGGGTCCAGAGGGCATGGGAGCAGCATGCTCCTCTTCTCTAAGATGAGGTGGTGACACAGCCTGTGCTTCCCAGGATGGACGGAGAGCTCAGCAGGTGAGCCTGGTGCAAGGGCCAGCAGAGGGCAGCCAGCGATGTCCTGCGGGAAGCAGCTCAGGAGCTCCCTGTGTGCTTCCTGCAGCCACAGAACTGCTTCCTGTCTCAGCCCAATCCCCACCAGCCTCATGCTCTGCGTGTCCTTGTCCTGGGCCTCAGTGTTCCTAATTGTGAAACAGGCCACTGGGTTTGTAGGCCCTCAACCCCTCCCACCTGCGGAATGGCACCAAGCTGGAGGAAGAGGGTGGTAGCTGGGCCCCATGGACACCAGGGAGCACAGGGCAGGGAGCACAGGGCAGGGAGGGGGCAGGGTGAGGGGGGTGAGGAGGGTGCGGGGTGAGGGTGCACACCTGAGTGGACCACAGGTTCAGCTGCTTGAGAGAAGGCAGTTTGATGAGGTGCTCAGCGCAGGCACTGGTTACGTTGGTGAAGGCCAAACTGAGGTTCTCCAGGTTTCCAAAGGAGCCCGAGCTCAGCAAGCGAGCCAGGTCAGCGTCCTGCAGAGGGTGGTGGACTTAGGGCAGTGCTGGGCCACCTGGAGCTCCCCAGGCCCTGAGGAGCTCCCTGCCTCTTCTCCCAGAACCTCATATTCCCTGGCTCTGTGGAGAGGGCTCTGGGCTGCAAAACCTGGGGCTGAGGTGATGGTGGGCGGGGCGCCTCCACCTGTGCATGCCGCTGCAGGAACAGGTGAGGCCTTGCGTGTGACTCACATCCTGAGTCACCAGCTCCGGTGCTCTGAGGCCACACCCACCTTATGATGTGGGTGCATGCACGTCTGTGTGCACGTGCATGGGCCTGGCTAGCTGTGTGCTCCCAGGCAGCCCCTGCTAGTTTCCCACATGCAAACACCGAAGCGCCCAGACTGACCAGCGCCTAAGCACGCGTTCCACCCCTTTCTACCGAGTCTCAGTGGCTGCCTGAGTTAAGGCTGATCTCCCAGCCCCCTGTGCAGCTAAGCAGGGCCATGTGGAACTTCTGGAAGGGCCTTAAAGGGAGGCCACGATTAGAGTGGAATCGCATGCCTGGAGTGTGGCAGATTTCTTGGTTTGAGACAAACCATGAGTCAAGGACAGTGGGGCAGCAGGTCAGAGGAAATACGCTCCCTGAAGACTTTGGAGAAGGGGAGTGGTGACACCCAGACCTCACAGGGTTGTCGTGAGGATAACACAAACCAACGGCACAGTATCTGGCATTCAATGCCCAAGGGACATTAGCTCCTTACCACTATTGCCACCACAACTGTGATGACAGTATCACTAATATCACCGACATTCTTAGCTATTTATTTATTGAACCCAGGGCTTCACACATACTAAGCAGATGTCCTACCACTGAGCCACGTCCCTAATATCACCAGTAATGTTGATCACAGCATTAAATTTCTCTTCTTAGTTTTCATTTCTCTCCCTGCAACCTGCTGACCCCGGGAAGAGCTGGCCTGCCCCACGCCAGGGGGTCTTTTCCACCCTCCCATGCCAGCAGCAGGTGTCCATCACTCCCCAGCAGGGTGGCCCCCGCACAGCCTCCCTCCCTGGCCCTGCAGAGAGCCAAACCCACTCACCGTGGACTTGGAGGGCAGCGTCAGTCTGGTGGGCCCGCCTTTCCTTTGCTGCAACAGAAGCCAGACTGGTCAAGCCCTGTCCCTCCGCTTCTACCCCGGTTACCAGCCCTGGTGGAGCTATGGCTCTGCTCCCAGAGCAGAAGGCAACCTGAGCTACCCTGAGCACAGGCGCCACCAATCCAAGTCTTGCTGGCGCCACTGTTGACAAATCCCACTGGGGGCCCTGGAAGAGGTGGAGGACTGTATCTCAGTTCCCAGTCCAAGGGCCGAGGGGACTGGGTGTGTAACATCCGCGCCCAGAACCCACTGGGTGAGGGTGGCTCAAGACCAGGGGCATCAACTCCCTGCCACTTCCCCCGCTTCCAGCAGCTCATGTGGCTGCCCGAGGATACAAAGTCCATTGGAAAAGAGACCCAGGTGCTGRCATTTGGATATTGGCCATGCACCGAAGCAGAAGGAAGCTGGGCATGGGAGGTTGAGAAGGAGCCAGTCCTGGCCAGGTCAGGTATGAGCTGTCTGACTTCTGGCCACTTGCTTTACCTCTCTGTCCACCTGGGAATGGTTGGAGACCCAGGCCGGGCGGCGGGGACTCACCAGCTCCTTCAGCTCCCGCTGCCGGTCGCACAGCTGCTCGTACATGCGCTTGCCCACRTCCGTGCTCTCCAGCGTGGAGATGATCTGCAGCTGCGTGTCGTTGTTGTCGATGATGTTGTACTCCAGCATCAAGCACAGGATCTGGGGAACCAGAGGGGCACTGAGGGCAGGGTCTCCGGGGTGCAGAGGCTGAGCCCCGCCACCCCTGGGGAGGGTCTGAGAGAAGCCGTGCACATGGAGGGAGGGCTCCCTGAGAGCTGGCACGCTGCTCTCCTAGCACTCCTGGCTGTGTGGTGCTGGGCAGGCCCAGCCCAGCTCCCGGCCAGGACGGCAGGGAGCAGCGTCCATGCAGCTGTGTGCAGGTGCGTCCTCAGCAAACGTGCCCAGGAATGAGGCACGCAGGACCCCAGGGCTGCCAGGAAGCAACAAGCCGTTTCTCTCCCAGAGTGCGGCAGGAGAGGGCCCTGGGCACAGCCGCAGAACACATTTCCCAGTGCCTCCTGCACTGGTCAACTTGGATAGCAGTGCCTCTAAGACCCTCTTTCCAATGACCTCCCYACAGCCAAGGGGAGCCCACCTGGCCAGCCCCTCACAGCCGCTCTTGCCTGCCTCCTGTCTCCCCACTCACCCTCTTCCCACCTCACCTCAGCCCCGACCACAGGTGTCAAGACCAAATCTGGATTCCTCACCAGACCCTTGGGCTCCTAACAGGCTAAGCAGGTCCAGCCATCCTGACCTCCAATAAGCCTCTTTCTGCCATAGGGCCTTGGCACGGGCTGTCTCCACAGACTGGACCCTCTGTTCCTGTCGCCCTGCTAATGCCTCCTTGGTCCTACACTTCACCATAACCTCTAGTCCCACAGGAAGCACGTGGATTTAACACCTGCAGTTCTCTAGGCTCTTCCCACTGAGAGATGGCGTCTAAGTCCCATAGCCTTGACCAGCAGGTCGCTTGGTGACTCAGGTCTGAGGGGTCGAACGTGGCAGGCGTGACACTGCCTGACTTAGGAGGCTACGTTAAAAAGCAACATGGCTTGGGCCTGGCTCCTCCTGAACAGTTGCTGTGGGAGTCCCAGGCTTCGGGGACTTTGTGCTGGTGGTGGGAAGCAGGGGACAGGCCACACAGGGAGAGGCTGGGGAGTCCTGCCGCTCCAGTCTTGCTTCCCCTCAGGCCAGGGAAACAGGCTGTGGAGAGGACCCAGCCCAGCCTCTGTCGAGTGGCCTCATGAGACCCCAAGCGAGCACTGCTTAGCTGAGCCGAGACACCTCCAGATCCACGAGCCAAACAAGTATCACGGTTCTAAGCCCCCTCTGGGGTTGTGCTGCGTGGCCACAGAGGAGCAGGCTGAAACTCCCAGGTCTCTCTGACCAACATGCTGGATCACAGCGGAAATAAAACACTGACCCAGAGACGCGCTGAGCTCAGCAGGGTTGGGCTGCTCCTGCTTTGCCCTGGTTCCCCATGCTCTGTGACAGCTCCTGGCTCCTGGGAGCCCGCCAACGCGGACGAAGGGCCAGGCCAGCTCCTTACCTCCACCATGGTCTGGTTCCCCCTCAGCGCCAGGAGCATGCAGGGGCCCAGCTTGTTTTCCGCCAGGGAGAGCAGAAACTTTTTGGTCTTGTAACAGGAGCCCATGAGGATGTGCACCTGCGAGGCAAGAAGGCCCAGGTGACGGCAGGGCCACCAAAGGAGGGGCTGTGGCCCCCAGTGCTGGCTCCTGCCTGCTGGGAGGAAGGGAGGAACCCGGAGCCATTGCATGGATCCTCCAGAGTGCTAAGCAGAAAACTGCATCTTCAGTGACCACCACACTCTCCCTGGGGATGCATGGGGCCCCTCCCAAAGAGGACAGACCTTAAGGACGTTAGGCTGAGCAAATAAGCAGGAACAGAAGGACAAATGTGACCACTGTGTGGGGCTGGGATGGGTGTGTTCCCAGAGACAGACGTCAATAGTCTCAAATGGTAACTCTTGTTAAAGTCCCTCTCCAGTGCCCAGGGGCTGTGCTGGCATTCCATTCTCTGAATTCTTAGCACTGCTGGACCCAGGTGGAAATCTGGGGGCAGCCCTCACTTGGGGAAGCACTGGACAGCTCCCACACCTGGGGCAAGTTGTCACCCACTCTGCTTCCCTGCCAAGCCCCCGTGAGCTGGAGTGTTGAAGGAGATGCCCACCCCATAGGCTGAGAGCTGGGAGACCCGCTCCCCCCCATGTGCTCCTGGTCTGTCTGTCTGGTGTTTGGGGAGGTGTCCATGGCAGGGGTCCCCAGGCCATGGAGCTGGGGGAGGAGAAACCTCGCCTCTTCCCCACTTCACGCGGGCTGGGAGGCAGCCTGATCCAGGGGACACTGCCGTCCCTTCGTTGCCATGAAGTACCCCATTTCCACCCGGTGGTGGCCGCTTCCTTCCCTGCGCCACCACTAACAACTCAGGCACACACACAGAGGCACTGAGCCAGGCTGCCAGCTCCCTGATTCTCTCACGCTGAGTCCCTGCATCAAGGGCGGGGAGCACTGTGTTGCCATGGTGAAGCTGTGACATCAGAGGCCAGAGAGGCTGCGAAGAACAGGAGCCGTGTGAGCATGGGTGGGCAGCAGGACAGGTTTCTGGGGTGCGGGGCACTCGGAAAGGAGTCCTGCAGCAGCGAGTGGTGGGGAGGGAGCCTGAGGGAGGGGCCCAGGGCTGCCCTCTAGGGCAGCTTCAGAGGCAGCACCTCACTGTCATCTCTGCACCAAGTCCACCGCAGTTAGCTGTCTGCCCAGTCCACAGGCTGCCAGCAGAGGGGACAGCAGCCGCAGGCAGCAGCTAGGAGCATGGCTGTGTGGCCTGCCTCACCCAGCATCTCGTCACCAGTGTGCCAAGGACAGGCTTACAAAGAAGGCCTCAAGCAAGCTCTGAACCTCTCTGGGCCTGTTCCAACCCAGGTGTACAGCGACAGGAATGCTGAGCAGATGAACAAGGGCGGTGTGTGAGGGTCCGACAGGGTGCAGGGGGACACCGGGGGCACTGTGGATGCAGTCCTGAGATGGGAAGAGCCACCCCGACCCTGACCCCTCTCTGCAAGGACTAAAGGAGTCTGTGGGTTTGAGTGCCTTCCGGCGCCACGTGCTCAGGCCTCTGCCCTAAGCTCAAGCAACTGTGGGGCCTGGGCAGTAAAGGCTGTGGCCATTAATGGCCTCGTCTACTATACAGGGTAAAGGTAAGGTTCCTCCTCCCAGAGCCAAGTGACGTGGGCAACGCTGAGCTCAGGTAAGGAGCGAGCAGGTGACCCCCATCAGCACTGTTTCTGCAGAGGTGTTCCTGGACAGGCCACAGAGGGCTTGGGGCAGCTACTCTACTGGTCAGGAGGGGCAAACCCTGTGCCCAGCGCAGTTCCGCAGAGCCTGCACTACATACCATGCTGGCAAACAGCTCCCCATCATCGTCACAGGCCACCCCTCCGGGGCTGTAGAGCTGAAACCAGCCGTCCTTGCCAGCCCGCACGCTGAGCAGGCAGGAATGCACCTGCGGCAGAGAAGCAGAGGGTCAGCCTCCCGTGGCGGGACCACAACACCCGATCCACAAGGGAAGTGCCAAGGCCCAGCAAGACCAGCAGGCCCGAGACTCCCAGCTGGAATACCTTTGGGGAACAGAGGTCCCCACACCCTGGGGAACGCCAACTCCTACATCAGTTCCCTGGGATGGAGGCCAGGGCCAGCCACACAGCTGATAGCCAGCCAGGCTCGGCCTCCTCAGCTCCCTTCCCTGGGGCTCCTCCGGGAGGGCTGCTTCCTTCCTCCCTCTGCCGGGTCTCTGCCCCTCTCCCTGCAAGCCTCTGACTCCTCCCTTGCTCTCTGTCCCCCTTTCTGTATCTCTCTTGTCACGGTCCTGGGGCAGTCTCTGTCGGCCTCCTTCCCCACCACTGTGGTGTTCCCTGCTTTCACGTCCCGCCCCCTCCCTCGGCCTGGGCCCCTGCCGTCCTCCTCATGAGGGCTCATCTTTGCTCCTTCTCCATCGAAGGGTCTTTGTCCCGGGCACCCAAAGCACGACCTCAAATTCCTTCCCAGAGCTGTGTGTGCCTCCATGAGCATGGGTGCGAGGAACTCTGTCCATTCCAGTCCCACACGAAGAGACGGGGACACAGTCACCCACACACAGGCCTTTGCCCCTCCCTCCCGTCCTCAGCTGGAGAAGGCCTGATCAAATCCTTCCAAAGTCAGGACGACCTGCTGCCGGGAGTCACTTACTCGCAGGTGTCACGGTGGGCACGCCCCCCCACAAGTAAACACAAAGCAGAGGCAGCAAGCGTCCACACCGCCCTCTGAGCTGGCAGAACCCAGGCTGACGTGCCCACTTCCCAGAGTCACAACAAGGTATGAAATGCTAACCAACCAACATGGCCAGGAACTCAAAGACGACAACTTGGGCCTCACTCAGAGGGGGAAAGCCAGGAGGGGAGAGGGAGGAATGAAGGGAGGAGAGACGGAAATGGGGAACAGCAGAGAAAACCAAGAGGCCAAGAGGAGAAGGGGCCACAGGGCAGGCGCACGAGCAGAGCGGCAGGCTGCTTCCTGTGGCCGGTCCCTGGCCTCAGCACGGCACCCTGGCCTGGCACTGGCCCTCCCACAGCCGCTCTGCCTCTCCACGCTTTTGTCCTCAAGTCTGTTTGGACACAGAGTCCCTTCCCAGGAAGGCTCTGAGACTGTTCTCACACAGTGAGTGACTTGGGGTGATATATCCCAGATGACTCGGGCTCCACTCCAGCTCCTTAAAAGCTCCTACCTACAGCGAGGCCCTAAGCAACTTGGCAAGACCCCGTCTCCAAAAAAAAAGGACAGTTGATGTCATGGCCATCTAAGGCCTTGCTCACACACAGGTGCTGGGACGAAGTCTACCTGTCCCCAGAAGCCTAGCTTTGCTGAGGGTCGGATGTGTGGCCGTTTATGGAGGCCTTGGCCACCATGCCCAGGAATAAAACCTGCTCAGAACCTGGCTCGGATTCCTCCTGGGCCTGCCAACTCCTGGAGCAGCAGCCCTGGACAGGACCCCAAGCCGCCTGGGGGCTCAGCCCACCCCTCCATCAAGGCCTTCGCAGCGGGGGGAAGCCATCAGCCAGTGGCAAAGCATCTCTGGTTAGCTAGGTCCTGGGGAGCAGTGCCATCACAGACGGTCTATGCTGGCCACGGCTGTACACACCAGGCAAACATCCTCCGTCAACTGCACCCGTCCCCTGGTGGCCAGACAGCCCCTGGCAGAGCCTCAGAGGGCTCTGAAAGACCCTCATGTGACTGCTACCCCCAACAGCATGCCTCCTTGCAGAGAGAGGCTGGGTGTGGCTCAGCCTCGGAGCGTGTGCCTAGCGCGAGTGAGACCCGCCTCCACTCCCAGCTCACCTCTTGCCGCGGGTCTTCCGCAAACCTCTGAATCACATACTTCAGCTCCCTGGAAGAGATGGGCAGGCAGGTCACTCCTGGCCTGGGTAGACAGGGGGGTGGAGGCATGGGGCAGGGAGGGGTCAGGTCACAGAGGGAACGTCTGACAGGGCAAGGCGTGTTGCTAGGGCAGGCTGCAGGAGCACGTCCAGGAGGATACACTGCTGCCTCCCAGAATGCACGTGGCTCAGAAAATGGGCTAAGAGGCTGGCCAAGGAGGGTGACCTCAGAACAGAGGACGTGCCACCCAGGAGCAGGGAGGCGGGTGGAGGGTGCTGCCACCGGAGTACTCACTTGGTGAACTTCTCGTGCGCAAGCGCTCTGTGCAGAAAACAAGGGAAACACGCAGTCAGCACGGGCTTCCTAGCCACTCCAGAGCGGCCCTGGGACTGTCTGACTTTGTGTTTGACTCGAAGAATGAAGAGGGGGTTAAAATGAGAGACTGACGTTTTGTCCCCACTCAGAGCTCCAAACAAAGGCCTCCTTTGAGGAGTGACAAATCCTAGCAAGGTGACAGGCTAAGCCCATGCCCTCCTGCCACCAGCAGGGGCACTAACCGGGTGCTGAGCTTGTGCACTTGCACGTGGGCTCTGGGGACCCAGGTGTCGTTAATCGTTCCACTGTCAAGGCCTGGCTGCACTAATTACTGCTGCACATCGGCAGGCAGCCGGGGACCATTTTTCAAGCGAACTGCATCATGGGCCACTGTCAAGTGTGTGCCTGGGCCTGTGGGGACACTGGCTGTAACCAATGACGCCACAGCCCTTCCGAGACCCAAAGCAGCTCTCAGGAGTTGGATTTCTCCGGTCTCCAGACCTCGGCCCTTGGGGACAGGACGGGCCAGCAAATGGGGCAATTACCGGTGTAATGCCTCCCTTAGAGGAGCTGCATTTCATAAACACGGGCTCCTTAATGGGCTCCGGAGAGAGCCCAGGCAGGCCCCCGAGGCCAGGCCTCTTCACATGGATCAAAACAGACCTGGAGGCATGTGGAGACCTGGGCCCGAGGCAGAGCTCTTGGCCCCCCTAGGCCATCACCACAGATGGCACTATTTTCCTGTGATGCTTCTGATACTGGGATCAGGGCTGGCAGAGACAGAGGGTCCATTTCAGCCCAAATTCACGGTGGAGCCTGAGCTAATCACCATAGCAGGGTGGTGAGAGCTTCCTGCACTTTACCATGCTGCTGCCGGCAGACAGTTCCAAGTGCATTTTCTTTGGATTTTCACCATCCCCCTTGGAGACAGAGTGGCAGGTGTTATTTCCCTTTTGACGCATATTAAAAACTGCTAACTTGCTGCCGCAAGGCTTCATGGGAAGGCTGCTGCCTCCTGAGCTCAGCCGATCCTTGCCACAGAGCCCTGGGCCTCGGGAGTCTCCTCTAACGCCCTGTGGCGTCCACCCTGCTCTCCCCGTGACTGGCTGTGCCCCTGCCATGACGTGCCCTGGGAGGTCTCCCTGCAGTGGAGGTTCAGGGCAGTGGACTTACTCTTTGGGGAATGGAATGGGTTGAAGCAAGCTGGCCAGAGACGGTCTCCAGTCATCATAGTCCGACCTAGAATGAGAAAACATGTGGTGAGGACAGTGGTCAGGGCGAGGCTGCTGATGTGCCGTCCTGGGTGGGCAGCAGGATGAGATGCTAGTCTGGTGAGTTCGCCCACTTCAAGGTCCAAGAGTGGTGGAGGGCACAAGCACCTCATGTCCACAGTGCAGCATGAGGTCACCAGCAGACCCAGGCCAGCTTCCAGACGGCAAATGCAGGGTCACTGCCTGCTCCCCAGGATCTCAGACCTGCCCCACCTCTGAACAAAGCCTTCGCTGTCATTATCCATGCCCTCTCTTGAACCACCAGGAGTTGTTAGGGGCCAAATTGTGTCCCCCTGACCCAAATTCAGCCCCTAGGACCTCAAAGTATGACTGTATTTGGGAATCAGCCCTTTAAAGTCGTGTCAAACGCAGCCCTCAGGGCGGGCTCCTCCAACCCACTCACATCCACACAAGAAGGGGAAGCCCAGACACCAGGACACACCAGGTGTGTGCATGCCGCGAGAAGGAGCCCCCCGGAGTGCCTATGTGAGAGGCCTCAGGAAGGACCCCCCACTGATGCCCTCATTCCGGTCTCCTCAGAGTGGAGAGAACACACGCTTCTGCTGGTCACGCTGCGCGGTACTCAGTGTCCTGTGCTGGCCATCAAGCACGCTGACACGGCCGTGCTCACCCTCGACCAGAAATGAAGGGGCAGCTGTAGGTGCCACGCCGTCTGAGGGCAGTCCAGGCACCTCCAGTTGTACTGGATGCTTCGATTCCTGCTTCCAGACAACCGCTTTCTTTCTGCAGCTGAGGCGACACTGAGAATGCTGCGATTCCGTCACCTGCAGCGCTGCACTAGAGCGCGCCGAGCGAGCACTTCGCCCGCACCAGCCCATGGAGTCTGCTAGGCAGCCCCGGCAGAGCCCCAACTGTCCCCGACGAGCTGTCAGGCGCCTGGCGAGTAACTGCAGAGCTGCTCCACGTGGGCACAGGAGGGAAGCAATGCCTGGGAGCCCCCGGGTGGGCAGGGCTGCTCCCGCCCCACCAGGTCAGCTTCTAAAAGAAGGAAGTGTACTGCCCACTCCTGCCCCAAGAAGCCAGAGCAAGAGGGTCTGGGATGGGGGGGCGAGCCAGCCGTCTCAGTCTGGGAAGAAACGGCCTGCACACTGCGGCAGAACTTCCTGAGGACCCCCGTTCTACAGATGAGGGAAACCAAGGTTCAGAGATGCCTTGTACCTGCTACAGGTCGGAGCTGGTAGTTGAGGTCTGGCCTTAGGTGTCTCTAAGGCACAACCCACCTTGTCTCCCTCCCCAAGCCTACACTGACTATTTGTAACACTGACTATAATTTGGTTACAAACTGAGTTCCTGATTTCTCTGGCTTTGGGGACTTAACTGAAAGTAAACCCAGAGGTAGGTGGCTCTTGCCGAATGTCCTAAGCCAAGCCTGGCACTCCAAGGTCCAGGGCCGAGGCCCTCACGCAGGGAGAGAGGGCACTGTCAGGGCAGTCCCCCGGGCAGAAGGTCCCTGCCTACTCCCCAGGATCTCAGACCTCCCTCCGGCCCAGGCAGGGGTTGGGGCTCACCTATGTAGCCCCTGTGGTGGGTGCTGGCCTGGGACACGGCTGGTGCTTGGGAGAGGTGACACAGCCTGGGGACTGTGGTTCACTTAGAGCAGAAGGGGACATTGATCAGTCTCCATTCTGTGGAGCTGTGAGAGGATGGCCGAGAGCCTATCTTGGGCCAGGGGCAAAGGGCTGGCACATGGGGGCAGAGGGATGACCAGGGACCCCAAGCCTGACTCTTGTTCTTGGGACCTGTGACTCCTTTACAGTGGGAACACAATGTTTCTCAGCCTCCCTATCCTGACCTCCACCAGGAGCGGTTTTCCTAATCGCCTCCTCCCCACATACATTTTAACACACTCTGTCTGCTGTCTGTGTGCTGTACACCTACAGGGCCTTAGACAGAAACGGCAAACCTGTTTCCACCACCTAGGACAAACACTAGCTTCTGTGGATCATGCCTGGTTTAGAGACCCCCTGGATGAGGGATCTTCCTGCCCGGCCTTCCTCCAAACAAACCCATGATATAGTGGCAGCCTTTGGAACCTGGACCGTTCTCTTGAAGGTCCTGAGGAAAGGCCCAGATGTCGGGCGCCTGGGAGAGAATTGCCAGGAGCCTGGTGGCCCAAGGTCAGTTGTGGTGGCGGTACTGGCTGACTTCTGCCAGGCGCACATTAGGTCCCGTGACCCCAAACACCAGGGGAGCTGGAGAGAGCAGGGGGAGGGAGCCTCAGCCATCTGAGAGGCGCAGAGCTGGCCTGCCGCAGCGAAGGCCTGTGTGCTCTGCTGCCGTGGAACTTGGAGCCCAGAGGCCCCAGGGTGCAGGCGGGCACGTGCCTGTGCCCTCAGCTCTTTCTGGGGGAGGCGTACACTTTTGCAGCTCGTTCATCTTCCCTTCAAGATGCCCCTCTGGTCATTTCCCCTACCTTCACTGCCTCGTACTGTTTCCGGCAATCTACATGCGACCTCAGGCACAGCACTTCTAAGTGCCACGCTCTCTTCCAGAATTTTCCCGAACGTCAGCTCGTGTGGTCCTCCTGCAACCCAGTCACACGGGCATTCCTGCCACCTACTGTACAGACAGGCACACTGTGATTAGAGAGGGTCCCCCTTTGGGATGCTCAGCTGGGTGTTCAGCCACCTGTCAATGACCAGCCACCTGGAGCTCTGAGCTGTTCCGTGACCAGATGCTCCCTGCCAGGCGGGCCTTCTTCTCATTCAAGGGGAGAACACTGCAGCGCCAGAGCAGCCTCGCTGCCCAGAGAGGCCCAGAGTGAGGCCCAGCAGAGGCTGAATGGGCTACCACTGGTCCTCCTCCTGCTCCTCACTGGACACTCAGGCAATGTTCATGGGCTTTGTCCTGGGCCTGCTGTCCTGTCCAAACCCCACTGCACCTCAGTTTGCTAGGCCTCCTATGACCCGGTTCCTCTCTTTCCTGCAGGGACTCCTCATGGGGTTGAGGAACATGGTGGTGGGATCTCCAAAGAGCAGAGCTTCCCTGAGCAATACCTGATGGTCTCCTGTGATCCTGCCCAGTAAGGCCTCCCAGCCACCCGAATACCCCAAGGAGTCTGCATTTCCCCTGAAGACCCTGAGGGTGGGGTTCCGGCCAGAGTAGCTACAGCCTGTCAAACCTCTTTAAAACCAGCCTTTGCAAGGAGTGGCAGACAGCAGGAGCAGGAGGGTCAGGAAGCCCTCCGCAGGCTGTCTTCTCTCCCTGGACAGAAGCGCATCCTGCTGCCACGGCCTGCCGAGTACCCACAGCTCCACGCACTGCACCCCACCCCACAGGGCACTCAATGTTACTGCTTTGGACACTTAACAATCCTCAGGTTCTGAGGGACTGAGGCCAGGACCAGGCAGAATCCCTGACATTTGGCACAGAACCTGGCCCACTGAAGGTGTGCCACCAACCTTTGATAAACAGGCAAGCCAGGTGTGGTGGCACACGCCTGTGAGCCCAGCAGCTCAGGAGGCTGAGACAGGAGGATGGGAGTTCAGAGCCAGCCTCAGCAATATCAAGGCACTAAGCAACTCAGTGAGACCCTGTCTCTAAATAAAATACAAAATAGGGCAGGGGAGGTGATTCAGTGGTCAAGTGCCCCTGAGTTCAACCCAGTTACTGACCCCCCCAACAAAAAAGAATAAGCAAGCAGCTAAGTGTGAAAGGCCCATGAGACTACACCCTCCAGAGGCCGCGGGCCTGCTCCCTGCCAGCTCCTTCCCTCACAGAAGCCAGCCGGCCTCCCAGCTGGCCTTTGGCATCAATCCTGACTGCACTCCCGAGGGTCCCCAGGGATGATTTACGGCTTTGGTTACTTTGCAAAGTGTCCATTCTAACGACGCGGGGGCCTTCCTGTGGGAGCACACACAGCCACGACTCGGGGACTGTGCCTTTCTCACACTGTCCCCGCTCCKCTCTAGCTGCAATGTGGGCTGTGCTGACCCACACTCCCAGGGACCAGCAGTGTCCTCTCCAGTGGACAGAGGGGGCCATGCTGGCCAAGGCTGAGTGCGCACAGCCTCCTTCACCCCACAAAACCTTCAATTCCACACTAAGTCTACTTGACATTGAACTGTCCTTTGGACAGCAATTCAGTATTGCTGATGGCCATTCACCCTTATCAAGATCGGGAGGCCAGCACGGGACCCTCCCACATCCCCAAGTTCTCACGAGAGCCCTCCAAGGCAGGCAGCCACCTATTTCACAGCCAAGGAAACAGAGGCCCAGGCAGCCAAGAATGCTGACACGGCCACACAGCAGAGGAGTCCCGTGGCCGTGGCGCCCGACCGCCCACATGGAGGTTCCTGGAAATCCAGGTGTCTGCTGAAGGTTGAACTGGTTCTTCTCTCTCAAAGCACTGTATTAAACTAAGGGTGCCTCTTACTGTGGCTGAAACAGACACTATGGCTGTGCTCACAAATTCCAGCGACTCCCATCTATCTGCAGGTGCCACCTTGTGCTGATGGCTGCTATGTGGGGCGCAAGCCTGGGCTGGATGTACTTTCTCTCACCAATGGCCAAGGTGGCCATGAGCACTGCACCTCTCAGCCCAGGAGCTGAGGCTCGGAGGCCCACCCACTTCACGAGGAGTACGTGACACATGGGAAGGGCACGGAGCCTGGGCTGGATGTACTTTCTCAGAGCATCATACTTGCAGCCCTCTGAGGTGCACAGCTGCTTGGCTGGAGCAGGTCTGAGGTCCCCAGTGTGTCAGGAGCTGAAGTGGCCCACTGGGTTAAGAAAGAACGTAGGAAATGAACCCACCAGGCAAGCAAGGGACACTGTAGCGTGCTCCGAGCTCCCCTTCAGAGACGTCTGAGAGTTTAACCCCACTCTGCAGAGGCCTTTGACCCGGCCTGCCCACCAGCAAACCCCGACCCCAGCCTGTGCCTGGCAGTGGCAATGGGGTAGGCAGGCCAACGCCTAGAGAACTGAGCCTTCTTCCCACGATGCAGGAAGGGAAAACCCAGCAAGTGATGAAACGCAAGCCCTCAACGCCAGGTGAGCTCCAGTTAGGACCCAGGAGGTCCAGGCCTGGAGTCCTCGAGGGGGCGGAAGGCAGCTGAGCAAGGCCACCTGGACCTGGGCTGGGAACCCTGCGGGACTCTGCCCTGCCTGGAGGACACTCTGGGCAGAGCGGGCAACTACCAGCATTGGGAATGCCCTTGCTGGGGGTGTCCCTGGGTGTGGTGGTGCCCTCGTGGGCTCTGTGTATGGCTGGACCCACATGGGAGGCTGGCACTGACCCTGGGGCCCTGCCTCTTCCTGGCCAAGGCCAACACCAGGGCACAGGAGCTGTTTGGGGATGCTGCCTCCATGTCCTCCTCTAAACCACAGGAAGCCACTGTGTAACCACAAGTTCATGTGTGTGCACACACACGTGTGAGCATGCAGGTACCACAGTCCTTGCTGTGGAAGCAAGGGGCATCTGAGGCCCCTCCCTGCCACCTCACCAGCCAGCCAGGTGTCTGGAAGCTGGCCTCCCCTTCAAAGCCCTGGGCACACTCTAGGCAGCAACATGACCACGAGTTGGGGACAAGCAAATGCCACATTGTTGCATGACAAGAGGGTCTCAGGGAACCCTGCCCACACCAACAACAGCCCAGGTGCCTGGATCCTCCCCTGAGAGAGGCCCCTGGTGCCCCTGGTTCAGACAGGCACTGACTGTTGGTTCATATGTGACGATGCAGCTGTGCCCGATCCCCCTGGGAAGCCCAGCAGCCACCACCAACTGCACCTGGACATGCGGGTCTGTGGCTCTGGCTCCACAGAGAGCAGGACAGAGCACTATTCTGAAGCAGGGGATTTGTGGGAGCCACCTGCTGGGTGTCTCCAGATATAAGCTGGTCCCTGGGCCATCCAGGTGCCCCAAACGTGGCTCCAGGAACCAAGCCCACGTTGCTTGAGAAGGGCTGGAGCTGGCAGAGTGAATGGTGGGGCTGGAAAGGCCCTTGGGGGCAAGGAACAAGCCTGCCCATTCCAGACTCATACAGCCAAGAGGGACAGAGACCAAAGAACACAGCTTGGAAGCAGTGCCACCCAGAGCAGACCGGAACCTTGCTCCTTCTCCAGGGCCCATCAGGAGCTCAGCCAGGACAAGGCCTGGACCTCAGCACGGTCCAGTAGAGCTGATGCCAAAGAGATGCTGCCCTAACAGAAGGCGCCCATGTGCACGGACCACACAAAGCACATGACCACAGCTACGCAGGCACACAGGCACAACAGACTCCATACCCACCATGTACGCAGGCTCAAACTCACCACACACGCACACTCTGCCATACACCAACACAAACATGCATGGCTCATACAAAACACAAACACCTGCTCACACACACACAATTGCACACACGCATACTCATGCACAACACCAGGACAAGTGCCTAGACACACCCTTACTTGTGCATTTAACACTGAGACACTCACAGTAGGTCCCTATGGAGAAATCCATGTGAAGTCTACTCCCATATATACCACAGTCATGCAGACACACAAGCTCAGAACAAACCCAAACCCAAACCAGAACGTGCAGAAATGTCCATGTAATCTCTCTCTCTCTCTCACACACACAGCCATGCATGCACTCCACATGTGTACATTCCCGGGCACACTCCTGTGTGTGCTCACAGACTCTGCTGGGTGAACTCACTCTGGTGTCTGTATACCCATGCCCAGCCACACTGGCTGTGCACACTTCTCCAGACCCCAAGCAAGTGCGTGCACTCACACACCCACCCACCCTGCCCCACCTCACAGGTGGCATGTCAACAACTGTGGCGGAGCCCAGGGGCAGAGGGGGCATCCCTTAGCCCCCCTCCCCCACCCCCCGCCCCTGGCAGCGGCTTGCAGGATACTCACAGCAGCTTGAGGATCTCCACGTAGCAGCCAAGCGTGCGGTCAGCCTGGGGGCCCAGCTCGATGCTCATGGTGCTGCAGGCAGGGCTGACCATGAGGCAGTCGATGAGGTTGGGCTCGCTGTCATTGCCCGCGCTGGCCGTCAGGGCTGGCTTGGCAGTGCTGGTGCGTTCCACCTCCACGTGGATCTCACTGGAGGCCACGACCACCGACTTGAGCCGCGCCTCGGACAGCGTGGCTTCCTGAGACACCAGGTCCGGGCTGGGGTGCAGAAGGCGCAGAGGTAAGGTGGGCTTCCGGTCGCAGGGCTGCTGACAGCCGTTCCGGATCTCCTTCAGGCTGGGGGAGTTGTCGCGGCTGGTGGAAGAGGAGGAGCAGGCAGGTGAGAACGGCCTGGCATGCTCGGAGGCAGGGGTGGTGGCAATTGGAGACGTCATTACGAGTGCTCATGATGCAGAAGGCACCAGGCTGCTAAGTGCCTCCCCAGTCCCCACGGCAAGGCCTGGAGGGAACACCGCCCTCATCCCTGCTCCAGGAACGGGGAGCGGCTCACTGATAGCCCTGCAGACAGGAAGCAGTGAATCTGGCTCCAGACCTGGCACAGAGTGGCCTCAAAACACCTGCTGACCCCACAGACCCAGCGTCTCTAAGATAGCCACAGGCTGTGGGGCTCACCTCCACTGAATGCCTTCCCTGGTCCTCTCCTGCCAACGATTCTATGCCTACCCCCATCCTGAAGCCAGTGTCCTCCTGGATCCCACTCCAGCGCCCACCCCAGCCAGGTGAGCGAGGCCAGCATCTGCCGTCCACCCAGGAGCCCACTTCAATGGCTCCCAAACCCCAGACTGCCCATCACACGTCCATCACAGCTGCCTGCCCAGGGTGTTACTAGAAGTGACATGGCATCATTAATGTCACATTTGTTTGGAAAATGTGGGGCCAAGTGGTAAAATTAGGCCTCTTCACAACAGGACTCGTCAGCACCTTGACCTGGTTAAAACCCCTCCTCTGAGTGTTTCCTAATGCACTTGGTTCCCACCGGGGCGGTACAGCAGCAATGGGTATCCTGGGCTGGTGCCCACAGGCTGGCACTGTGCTGAGTGCTGCTACACAGATGCTCCAAACACTGGTGCCGAAAGTATTCCCTAGGTCAAATGACCTCCCTGAGTCAAGGAAGCTGGGATATGAAACTGGATCTCTCTGATACAAAGCCAGGCTCCTCCCACCAGGTTCTCCCAAGACCTCCTCAGACCCTGTGCAGGTGCCCTCCTGCAGGAAGTCTCCCTTGATTTCTTCCTCCCATTGAACTCTAAGCCACAGCTTTTCCCCTGGTTGGACACCAGGATCTCCTGGGGCACTTCAAACACCCCAAAGTCCAATTAGATCAGAACCTCCGGGTGAGGTCTGGACATGAGTCATGTTCCAGGCTCCAGTGTGTGTGGTCAAGGTTGAGATCCTCGCTCCACCTGACTGAGCGCTGGTCCAGGCCTCCCCAGGAGACCCTCCCGTGCATGTCCTGTGCTTCCCACGCATGTCCTCTGTGCCTCCTGCACTCTTGCACCTGTGCTGAGTAGCAGCACGAGGGGCCCTGTGCAAGTCTCAGACTCCACGCACAGGGAGYGGCTGAATTCACCCAGCACCTGCCACCAGCCAGGGCTGAGCTGAGCCCACCAAGGGTGTTTAATAAACATGCTTTAAACTTTGCTGGGGGAAAAAACAATCCCTTGGCTACCATCCAAGAACTCTGCGGTCGATGGAAAATTGTGTGTGGCCTGTGGGGGGTGGGGCAGCCCGAATGTCTCCTTTGGTTCAGACCTAATTTGCTCCCCGATGCTCAGCGCTCCATGTCCTTTGCGTTGCTGGGCCTGGGAGTGGATTTTCAAGGCTGTTTGGCTCTGATGGGTGATTTTCCCGAGAGCCACGCTAACCTGGGTCGAGCTGTCTCTTCTTGTGCCTGTGAGTACATCATGTGCCGCCGGAGCTCTGCGGAAGGCCTAGAGAACGCTGCAGCTTTATCTTGGAGGGACTGACCAATGGGGTGTGAGGGACGTGAGCCCAGGAACATCTCCCTGGAGATGAGTGTCTTGGGGTATCTGGAGGAACTGGCAACACTGGTGGGGACCCCGACTCCTCTGGGCTCTGAGGGGGTTCAGCTCTGCTAAGCAGGGAGTTGAGGCCAGCCTGGGGGGAGGTGGCAGAACCTGTCTCGCCCCCTCCTGTTTCAGGAGCCGCCTGATGCCCCCCTCGTCTCCTCCAGCCCATCCTGCAGCCAGCAGCAGCGTGACCTGAACCTCTGGCACTGAAATCCCACGAGGGCCTCCTTTACTTCCAACCCACACTGACTCTCCAGCCTTCTCAGAATAAATCCTGCCATTGAGACAGTGCTAAAGAGTGGTCCCCACCATGGCACAACTATCAGAGCAGGGAGCCTCTCAGATCGGCACCCAAATCTGCTTTTAAAGACCATCCCCAGGAAAGTGTCAGTCGCAAAGGTCAAGAAGCTGAGCTCCGCAGATCTGGCTATGCCTGGGCCTGCCTCCCTCTCCAGCGCCACTTTGTGCTGCTTGCTCTCTGCCCCACTCACACCAACTTCCTTGGGTTCCTGCCCTGTGGAGCGCCTCTACCCTTCCTGTGAAGCAGCATCACCTGAGGAGTTGGGGATGCAGATTCCTGGGCACCCCGCCACAAGAGCCACCTCCAGGAATCTGCATCTGAAAGTGGCCGTCCAGGTGGTTCTGAGGCAGGGGCTCAAGGCTCACCCACAGAAAATACTGTGACCTCAGCAACTTCATCCACCCCTGCTGGGCCCTGTGTACGCTTCTCCCTCTGCCTGGATCACCTGCTTCCTGCCTCTTGCCCTGCTGACAGCCGGGAGGTCTCGGCTTACACAGCACCTTCCTGAGGGGTCCTTCCTGGTCTCCCTAGAGCAGGGGCTCTCAGCTCTGGTGTGCCAGACCACCCCGATTCTATCAGAACCACAGGCAGCCCATGGGGCCCAGGGACCCTGTTCTGACTGCAGGATGCCGGTGACGTCTCATAACCACTTCTGCAGGAAAAGGCACCCTGGCTTGCAGCATTTGCCAATTTCCATGGCCTCAGTATCCCTGCTGCAACTGCCCTCAAGTGACGTGGCATCGCTGGCCACAGGGCTGGGGAGCATGTCCTCTGAGGGCCTAAGTCAGCTGAGCCTAACTTGCCAGGGTCGGCAGAGGGAGTGACTCCTGGGCACAGAGGTAATTTCCACACATCTCCCCGTGTAAAAGCACCCCGGCCAGGGCTCTGCAACGGGACTAGCCTGGCATCTGGGGATAGAGAGCTGTCAGCTGTGTCCAGACATTGCCAATTCCCCCCTGGGAGGAAAACTGAGGACACAAAGCAGAGTGCAGGGTGCGGACTGTTTCCAGGAGCCTGGCAGCTACCTGCCACCATTCTGCAGCCTGCCGCCATAGTGAGTTTTGCCCAGCCTTGAGGGTATCCTTTGGGTCTGACTTTTTGCGCTCGGTATGATGCGCTCAGTGAGGTTCACTAGTTCATTCATTCCTGCTACTATATATGGATCCTTGTGCAGTGCTCGCAGCATCTGCCAATTTGTTTAGGACACAGTTTATTTATCTGTTCTACTGTTGTGGTACATTCAAGTTGGGGAAGATTTCAGTCTGGGGCTGTTGGAAGCCATGCCGCCATCAACATTCGCACACGTGTCTTTGGTGAATATACAGCACAGACAGGAGGGGAACTGCCAGCTCACAGGTCTGGCTCTGCTTTCCGGTTGTCTGAAACCTTCCCAGGAGGCTGAGACCCCAGCCAGACTGCAACGGTGCCCCTCCCGCCCCATCTCTCACTGCCTTGATCAAACCATGCTGGACTGTGTTCACCTGCCACTGCTGCTTCACCTGGGCAACGTTAGCACCTGGCACGTGGTGGCCCCTGAACAAGTGCTGGGGAGGGGAGCAGGGGGGCCCCGGTGGGGCTGCTCCCCTTGAGAGGCAGCGAGCTTGTGTCCAATTCTGTTCCTTTCCCCTCTGACCTTCCCCTAGGTGTGAACTGGGAGAGATTTCCAGTCTCCTTGTCCTCTGCCTCCTGTTCCAGGCGCCTTACGGAGCCCTGCGATCACCATTTTATGCTCCTGACCCACCGCCACCTTAGCCAGGTGTGCAAAGCACCCTGCAGGCCAGGTGAGTCAGGTGCCAGGAAAGGAGCTGGGGTGTCCTGTGCACATCTGTGCCTCAGAGCTGGAGTCCAAGGCCAGGGCAAGCGAACACCAGTGTGTACAGGGGAGCCTTGGGTGTCCGGGGGACTGTCTGACTTCCTTTTCTGTATTTTTTCTTTCTCTTCTTATCCATGCTGCAGGCCTTAGGACAGGCACTTGGGAACAACCAGCTCGTCCTCCATGCCCTAACCCCAGGGTCTGGTTACATTTGAACACCAGGACCTGGGGCTGAAGGCGTTAAGGACAGCAGCCCTGCCTTTTAACGCTCTGCCTCAGGGACACCCCGATTTACCAAGGCCCCTTTCCCACTCCTTCCTCTAACCCTCAAAGCATGGTGCTTGTTCTAGAAGTCCTGTCTGCACAGGGCTTCTATTATAGTGTGGATGTGAGGTGTCCCCTAAAAACTCACAGGTGACACAAGGCAAGAAGGTTCGGAGGAGAAATGATTGGGTTGTGAGAATCTTAGCCCAATCAGTGACTGAGCCCTGACAGGGATTAACTGGGTGGTAACTGGAGTGGTGGGAACTGGGGTGTGCTTTGGGTATATATTTGTATCTGGCGAGTGGAGTCCCTCTGCTTCCTGATGATGTGAGCGCTTCCCTCTCCACACTCTCCATGACATTCAGCCTCACCTCAAGCCCCAAGGAGTGGAGTCAGCCTTCTATGGACTAAGACCTCTGAAACAGTGAGCCCTCAAATCAACCTTTCCTCCTCTGCAGCTGTTCTGGTCAGGTCCTTTAGTCACAGCAACGGAAAAGCTGACTAAAACAGTCTCTGTGCTCTACTACTTTTTCTTTGAGAAAAACCAAAGTCCACTCTGTCGCATCTTCAGCTACAGTGGGGCCTAGACACTGATTCCTTGGAGTTGTGCAGTGAACTGTCTGGACAACTGGGAGGCTGCAGCAGACATCATCACCATCATGCACATGCCACATCTCCTCCAATGACTAGAAATCACTGCAGAAACTTCCTCGTGAACTCATGGTACCCGAGGGGGCCTACCCCAGGAGTAGACCTCCACCAGCAAGGAAAGGGGCCTGGGAACTGCAAGTGTCGGCCCTCAAGGGATGACTAACCTCATCCTGCAGTGGTCACCTGCTTGCTAACTCAGCTGGACCAGCTGTCCCCTCTTCTCTGTCTCCTTCTACCTGCACTTGCATCTGCTTCCACCTGCATCTGGGTCCAGGGTTAGCCCCTGGGGGATCTGATTCTAGGAAGAGGCCCTGCAGGACCTCCTCCAGTCCCCTGCTGCCCGCCTGTTCTGTCTCACCTCACGAACAGCCCTTCTTCCCAACTGACACAATCCTGCTGCTGACCGGTCTGCAGGACAGAACCCAGGCCTCAAAGGGCCAGGGGAGTGGTGACCATACTTAATCTCCAGCACCAAGAACCACGCCTGGCCTGAGACCGGTGCCCAAGAAAAGCCAGAAGAACCCTGTGCTCTCAAGGACTAGGCCGGAAACAGACCTCACTGTGAGCCCCTGCTACGCGCACACACCCACACACATGCACTCACACATGTGCACCCCCCCACGCTGCACACCAGCTGGTCAGAGTCCTCGGCACACAATCTGGTTCCCAGAGCCGGTCACCTAGCAGCCCGTGGGTGCTGGCACAGACGCAGCGCTTGCCTTCTCAGCACCCTCCCAGGGCCATGCCCCCGTTGACACGCCCAGGGGACTTGGCAAACTTGAGTCCAGCCCAGCAGAAGCTATTCCACCTCCCTGTGACCTCTCCCCTATGCCCCCCGGGGTGGCACTGACCTGTTGATGAATTCTTCGTAGCAGGAGTAGATGGCAGCCAGGCACACAGCCACCAGGTTGGGCAGGACCCGGGGGTGGGGACAGTGCCCTGTGGGGCCGTGCATGCTGGAAAAGAGTGGAGGGCAAGGTGAGCCAGCTGAGTGGCCTGGCATGCTCCCCCGTGTCAGTGGCTGTCACATGAGGGAAACAGGCCCCTTCTCCAGAGTGACAATGAGCATCAACTTCCTGGTTCACAGAAAGACAGCACTGGTGCCTGCGTGTCCCGGGGCAGCCACACCTGCACCTGCTGGTTCTGGAGTAGTCACACCTAACATTCCACTGTACTCTCCAAAGTGTACTTTTTTGGAAGAAAAAATTTTATGGTCATCTAGGCTTGGCATGGATCTAGGACAGTCACTAAGCCTTCCCAAGACAGGACTCACTTGGTGAAACTCCACTAACCATACAGGGGGCTGTAGGGGAACCTGAGGTCCCAGGGTTCTGGAAGAAGGACACAGCAGCACTTGGGTTTGGAAACGCGCTGGAGGGTCAGGTGGGATACTTCAGAACTCTGAGGCTTCAGAACCGTTTTAACCACATTGAATTCCCACACTCACAGGGTGAAGTGGGTACTTGGATAAGTAAAACTAAAGTATGAAGAGAAAAGTGAAGAACAATACAAGAAAAGCAAGCGGGCAAAGCCTGAACCTCAGAAATGGGCAAGAGCAAGAGCAGCCGGCTGCCTCCTGGTCACGAGTGGGAGGTGGCCGTAAGTCCTGCTGATTCTCTAAGACCACCAGGGTAAGATCCTCTCTTAACCACCCGGTGGCACAGGGGTTGAGGGGAGAAGGCAGCACTGCTTAGGACTTCCACCACTTCCCAAGTGCCTCCTGAGCAACACTACCATGCTAGGGGCTGCCTCATGCAGTCTCATGGCCCCTGCCCATACAGGAGGACATGGGATTAGAGAGGTTGGCACAGTGCTACCCCACAAGCAGGCAGCTCAGCCCACACAGGGCTGGGAGGACCTAGTGGAGTTCCTTGTAAAGATAAGACAACAGGCCTACGGAACACCACCCGACTCCCCTGGGCGTCGTGGAATGGAGTGCTGGGGCCAAGAGGGAGGGAAGCGGGCTCTCAGGCCAGGGGTAGAGGCCAGACGGGAGACCTACCTCTGAATAAACTTCTTCACCACTTCCATCCCCGCGTTGAGTTCGTTCAAGGCGAGGATGTACTCCTGAGTAAAGAGCCTCAGTCGCGGGCACTTCCCAAAGTCCTGCACACAGAGCAGAGGGCGGGAGTTGGGGAGGCACCTTGGAGCGGGTGGGGTCCGGCTCTGCTGGAGTGCACAGAGAACGGGAAGCCCCGCTTCTAGGAAGCTCACGCACGGTTCAGCACAGTCACCTGGAGAACCAGCACTGCCCTGGCTCTTGCCTTTGATGACCCATGGCACAGGAGCTGTCTGGCCTCAGCCCCTCCTCTCTCTGCAGGACCATGTAGCCAGCCTCCCACAGCCCCAGGAAGCTAGGTTCACTTCTGTGGCCACCCAAGAGTCTTGGCCCCTGCTTTCTCTGAGCTGTGATCTGAGGCCCTCAGTCCAGCCAAGCCAAGGTGCTTGGTGCAGGCATCGACTTGGGGAAGACTCTGGACTTGCTGGGGGTGTGGAAGAGATAAGTAGCACAGGACAAAGTAGCTCCCTGAGTCCCCAAACCACCACACTTAGTAAGGAGACACCTGCTCCTTCCCCAGAGTGAGGGAGTGACAGGTGGGAAGGTAGCCCACAAGCTGACAGTGCACAGGTGCAGCCTCCCTGCTCCAGGACCCAACTAAGGAATGTTTGATGACACTTCCCTGGATAGACAGCCACCACCAAAGGTGCATGGGGACAAAAGGCAGATGGGAGAGACAGGGGGTGCTGTTGCTCAAAGAAGGGTGTGGAAGAAGCACTGTGGTGGTGTGTGTATGGGGGTGTTGGGGGGTCCTGGGGCTGCCAGGCACCTGGATGACCCTGGTCTTCCCAGTACATGCCTGGTGTCCTGGGCAGCCAGCAGGGAGAGCCCAGAGCCATTCTGCCCAAGCTCTTTGGACAAGTGGCTGGCAGCAGGACACTGGTACCCCCCAGCTCATCCTATGCCTTCCAACAGGGGACCCATCAAGAAAGCCACCTGATGGCAGGGGCACTAGTGGTGAGCGCTTGCCCAGCCTGCACAGGCCCTAGGTTCCATCCCAACACCACAAGCGCTCTATCCATCAGAGAAAAAACCACCCAAATCAGGGTTCTCACCTACAGAACAGGAAGGCAGAAGGAGACCTCCCTTCTGGGCCCCCCAACTGCAGGGCTCCAAGCTGTGGCTGCTGCTCCCCCTTCTGGGGTGAGAGGGGCTGCACAAGCCCCCAAGACCACTGGGGCAGTGCCTGCTCACACTGGCCACAGCCTTGGCCGCTCACTGAGCATGAAGAAGTGGCCTTGAACGAAGGTCAAGGCTCCCCGTGCCCCACTGGCTGCCAGGACCCCAGGTCTGGCTCCACCAGCCCCCACTGCCCACCGCTGGTCCTTCCCAAGAGCAGTGCGTGCTCCTTGGTCCTGTCTGCAGTTCTCTCCTGACCCCACTGTGGCGTTTAGTCAGTAGACACCCGTGGGATGTGGGATGCGGATGCTCCACATTGCCTGACGCTGAGGAGTGCTGGGGTCCTCATGCCTGAGGCCAGGCCACCATGGCCTCTGCTGACTTCGGGGGTGCCCTGCAGCAGTTGTGATTCTATGCAGAAAACTTAGGTGGGCAACACTCGGGCTGTGAGACTGAGAAAATGCAAGGATAGCAGGCAGAGTTTTGACTCTTTCCCTGATGTCAGAGGTCCCCCCAGAACCCTGTGAATAATGACTACCATGGAGTATGCAAAACAGCGGGGTCTGTGTGCCCCAGAGACATCGCCTGGCATGTGTGCCTTGGGCACGTGGCTCTGCTTTGACGAGTTAGACCCCTTGCAAACAAAACAAAACTAAACCCAGGCCTCTGTTCTGGACCCTCACCACCCCACATGCCAGCAGGAAGAGGCCCTGTCCTCCCAGCTGGCCAGAGCAGATAGTGCTCCTCCTTAAAGCTAGAAGAGCCCACGTCAAGCAGAAATCCCCTCCCCACCCTGTTGTCCTGGAGAGAACTGCATGCGGTGTCCCCTCCCACGTTTGGAAAACAAAAGATGAATTTGCCCCAAATCTAGAGGATTTCAGAAAAAAGCAACACTCCATCAGGGTGTGTGATGGCTAAGAGCAGAGAATAGGTGCTCCCCTGCGCAGGGACCTCAGCGTCCAGGCTGCAGGCCAGCACAGTACTTCGTGAGTGGGAATGGGCCCCCACCCACAGACCTGGGTGGGGCAGCGCCTGGCCTTTCTGGGTCCCAGGCTCCTGTGCATTCGCTGTGAGGTGCCCTGCAGGCACTCTCCTTGGCTCTAAGAAGGTGTGCGAGAAATCTGGGAATATCTGACTTCTAGCCAGGCCTCAGTGCCGGTCAGTGGACCCTGCCCACGAAGCCTGCTTCCCTGTGCTCCTCGGCAGCGAGAACACAAGGAGCCACAGATCACAAGTGCCAGATCCTGTAACTGGGCAGTTCAATTCTGTAAAGTCTATATTTCATCCAGATTTCCATCACTTCCCCTAATGTCCCTTTTCTGCTCTGGGGTCCTCTCCTGGATCCCACATGATGTCTGGCTGCCAGTCTCCTTAGTCTCCTCTCCTGTGTCAGCTCCTCATCTCCAGGGTTTGGATGGCTGGATGGATTTTGGGCCCTCGGTTGGGATGTGTGTGAGGTTTTTCTTGAGGTGAGACTGGGGTGATGGGCTGCGGGGAGGGGTAAAGTGCACGGTTTGCATCACTTCATCTCAAGGTCCCCACTGTCAACAAGAGTCACTGCTGCTGACCTTGGTCACAAGGCTCTCCACCGTGATCTGCTCTTCCCCCCACCACACTGCTCTTTGGGAGAAAGCTGCTCGGCAGAGCCCGAGTACAGGGTCACCCTCAGGTCCTGGAGACAAGTGCGTCCCCCCACCCCTGGGTCTGCTTTGCACAGAACGTGCCTCCTAAGCCAGTGCTGCTGCTGTTCTAACCAACTGTGAAAAGACTCTTCCTGTGGCCTTATGGAAGAAAATTGAGTCAAGGAAGATGGGTGCATGAAACTCCCAGCTCCCTGAACAGACTGCTGGACCACCCATCCCCTAAATCTGTGGGAAGGCAGGAGGTTGGGAGGCTGGGGCACGGCGGTCGGGGGTCAGGAACTCACCATGTTATGCTTGAGGATTCTCTGGACCACGGGGGTGAACACCTCGATGACCACCATGGACCGGGGCCGCTCTCTGCAGTGCTGGGAGGAGAGACGGTGGGTCAACTCAGCTGGAGCGTCCATACAGCCTGCAGCTTCCAGCGGGCCAGGGCCAGGGAGCCCAGCTTATTTTTAAAAAGCCTTCAATTTTTACAGCAGTTTTAGGCTCATAGCAAAACCACAAGGAAGATGGCGAGATGTTCCATATGCACCCGCCCACTCAACTGCATATCTCCCGTCGACATCCCAAGGGCACGGCGATGCTTGTCCCTTGTCCCGGGCCTCGAAGCCACACTGGCTTGTCATTAGCACCCATAGTCCACTGTTTACACTGGGGTGCACCCTTGGCGTCCTACACTTTCTGGGATTGGACCAACGTGTAAGGACACGTATCCACCACAGCAGCAGCAGTCAGAGCAGGCTCACTGCCCTCAAAGTCCTCTGCGTCCTGCCTCCTCACCCTTCCCTCGCTCCAAGCCTGACAACCTCTCATCTCCCTTCTGTCTCAACGGCCTTGCTTTTCCCAGCACATCAATATAGGTTGACACCCCGTCTTTGAAATGTAAGAGACCAGAAGTGTTTCCATTCTTTTTTTGGATTTTGGAATATTCGTATGTACATGAGACATCTTGTGGATGAGACCCAAGTCTAAATAGTCATCTGTGCTTCCTACCCGGTTACACACAGCCTGGAGGCCGTTCTGTAAGTTCTACAACATCGTTAGTGTGCCTGTGTTTTGACTGTGACCTGCCAGGTGAGGAGTTTTCCACTTGTAGCGTCACATCAGTGCTGGAGAAGCTTTGGATTCTGCAGCATTTTCAGATTTCAAATTGGGGATCAGGGTTGCTATGCCTGTAGCTGGAATCACACAGCGGGCAGCTTCTCCAGTGTGGTTTCTTTCATTTCTAATGTGCCTTTGTGGCTTGACAGCACCTCTCTCTCTCTCTTTTTTTTATATTTATTTTTTAGTTGTAGTTGGACACAGATCTGTATTTCACTTATTTATTTTTATGTGGTGCTGAGGATCAAACCCAGGGTCTCGCACGTGCGAAGTGAGCGCTCTACCACTGAGCCCCAGCCCAGCCCAATAGCTCCACTCTCTTTAATGCTGGGTATGATCCCACTGCAGGGAGGCACCACTGATTTTTATTCATTTGTCCACTGAGGGTTCTCGGTTGCTTCTGAGTTTGGGCAGTTATGAATGAAGCTGCTATGAACAAATGTGTGTAGATTTTTGTGTGGATACAGGGGTGCCATGGCTTTTTTTGGGGGGTGGGATTAAAAAAGTGTCATGGAATAGAGTCTCTAGTAGCTTTTTGTTTCTATCTAAAAGCGTGAGACTGCTTCAGATGGCGCAGTCAAGGTCAAGGAATCCACTCCAACAGGATTCCTATTTATTATATGACAAGACTCTTGCAGAACCAAGAGCCAGCACCCCTGGTCTGATGGACCTTGACGATCAGGTTCGACAACACCCAGGGAGCTGAAAATGCTCCGGCTTTAGCCATCCCAGCTGCTCTCCTTCAGCAGCATGGTGCTGTTTTCTGAACTGAAATGTAAGGCCTCCATGCTGAGCAGACCCCCACCCCACCGTCCTGCGCACATTCATAATCCCACTGGCCATGGAGGTGCTGAGCTGCCCACCCCTGGATGAGGACAATGGACCTGGGATATGAGAAACCAGGGCTTCCCTGGGAAACGAACACAGACAGACTTGGAAACCCAGAGGGAGGCTGCCTGTGAGTCCAGACAGCTGCTTAGGCCAGGCTGCATCCCCGCAGCTTCCTTCTGGGCTCCCAGCCCAAGGAAAGTGGCTCAGCGGCTCACTGGGCCATGGCATCCTGAAAGGTGGCACCCTCCATTTTAGCACCTGTGGATTCCTGTCGGGTTCTGGGCCCTCAGACGCACCCCAGCACTTCAGGCCTGCAGAGGTGTGCGTGTCTGGAAAGGATCTCTTGCTGCAGAGGCAGGCTGAAGACAAAGGCCTGGTCACATCTCTCTGTCCAACCCTACCCTTGACACACAGAGCACTCCCTGGCTGGGGCTGGGCGCCCAGCCTCCTCCCCTGGTGCCTGTTCTGCGGTCTCTCCAGCTTGTCTCATGAGTGGACACAGCATCTGCACCTCCCCTAAGGGCAGCACATGACCATGGAAGGGGCAGAGGTCACCCTCATGTGCCCAGGGAGATAGGGCAGGAAGGAGGATGGGAAGCGCGGGAGTGGGAGTGGGGGAGCTCCGGGGAGGGGACAGAGCCAGGCCAAGCACATAGTAAAGAACAGACAGGCGTGTGGGCTAGTGCCGCCTCCAGCATGTGCCCGATCCCTGGGAATGCAGGAGGCCTGGCCCTGGTGCTGCTGGGCAGTGCTGCTGGGCAGTGTTGCTTGAGTCCTGCTGTGAGGCTGGCTCTGCGTCCCTGGGAATGGACGCCTGGCTCCAAGGCTCCCCTGGGCTAACCTGGAACACTCCGCCAGCTTCCCCTGCCTAGGGAAAGCCCCGCGGCTGGCCCCTACCGTGGGCCAGCTGGTGCCTGGAGGAGCCTTGGCTAAGAATAACCCAGCTCTGACGTCAGGAGCCCAGAAAATCTCTGCAAACTGCTTCCCAAGACAGCCAGGGAGTTATTCCAAAGAAAACCCAGATGCTCGTCCCTGCCCCCTGCCCTGGGACCCTGTTCTAACTTGTCACCTGTGTGGCAGAGGGGCTGTAGTCCTAAGGACAGGTGCCCTTTATGTCCTCTGCCTGCATCTGGGACCCTGGCCCCAGGCTGGAGGGCCTGGGTTTTCAGCTTTTTGTGTAAACCACCCCTACCGTGTGGACAGCCCCACCTCAGCCACACCATACCTTGCAAAAGAATTCACAGAGGTCTGGAGGGGGATGGTTGTTTTCCAGCAGAGGAGCGATGGCCTGAAAGACAAGGAGCAAGTGTCAGCTGGACGGACTGTGCGGCAGCCCGGCTGGGCCAGACTCCTACAGGAGAGGTGGCCTGAGAGGAGAGCAGCCTTCTGCCGTCCTCGGGCAGAAAAAGCCCATTTTCTGATCTGCGGACCACAGCTCCCTCCAGAGGCTCAGAAAGCCCTGGTCTGTTCCCCGGGAAACACACACACAATACACACGGTGGTGTGTATAAATTTAGGGGCTGCATGGCCTGCTGCCACCCACTGTGTCCCCTTCAGACTCATACCCTGGAATTGCACACAGGACATCAGAGTGGGCAGGTACCTCGCCACTTTAGGCAAGGGCCTGAGCACCCTCAGGTTCTGGTTTCTGTGGTGGGTGCTGGAATTAACCCCCCACAGGTGCCAAGGGACAAGCACACAGGCTGGGGGCACAGCCCCAAGTACAAGCCCTGACTCTGACGCTTGCTGGGTGTGTGGCCATAGAACAACAAGTTGCCTTGCCTCAGTTTCCCACTTGGAAAGGGGCCTAGAGTCACCTCAAGGGTCACCTGCAGGTCAGGGCGAGCGGGGCTCCAGCCTTCATTGGTGGGCCCACCTTGTGCACCATGGAGGCTCGACTCACCAGCGGCTAGGAGCGCCCTTCCTAGTGGTGACCATCTAGTGTTCCAGGGCACACCTCTTAGCAAGCCTTCTGGGGCCAGCTGTGTGACAGTACTACGGGGTCGGCTTGCTCCGGGGATCATTAGGAAAGGGGAGTAGACTGCACTGACTGATGAGCTATTCAGGCAGGCTTCCTGGGACAATGAAGCCGCTGCAGGGGAGGGCCCTGCTTCCCGGCACCAGCCACAGGCTCACAGAGCCGGGCCCAGGCACGGGTCTTCTTGGCTAGGGCGGCCCAGGTATGGAAAGTTCTGCTGGAAGCAGTGGGCTCCTAGTCTTCCGCAAGGGGTGAGCCCCGCCTGTCACGATCCCCACCACCATGCCAACCAACCACTTCACAGTACTGAAGTACTGACCGTGACAACATCAACATCCATGACACTGAACCCGGCTGGGGCCACTGCACAGTGTGGCTCGAGCGTCACTGTCTGTTGGGAGGTGGGTGTCGGCATGTCCTCCTTTCTCAGGTGGGGAAGCAGGTCAGAGATAAAGTCAGAGGGCCAAGGTGCACAGTGAGAAAGAGGCAGAGCCAGGAGGAAATGCCATCTGTGACCCCAGAGCCTGCTGTGCCCCAGGCGGGGGAAGGCTCCACTGTTCAGACTGAGCTCTGGGACCAGTTGGGGAGAAGGGACCTTGGGCAGGGAAGTCCCCTCTTTTGGATAACAATAAGCCAGGCTGCCAGGGGCGAGAGTGACCAGCTGTACACTTCCACTGTCTGCCAGGGGCGGTCTGGTGCTTCCGCCGTTGTTTTACTTCATCCTCATGACAAACTCATGAGGTCCAGTGGTAGTTTCATTTGTACAGATGAAGAGAGGACCGGGGAGGTTATCAGGCTTGATCTGGTCACTGAATGATAATTTGTACACGTATGACTAATACAAAGGGTTCTGTTCTTAGCAGAACTTTTCGACAAGCCTGTGCCTGGTACTGCATTAGCTCATAGGATCCCCAGGGGCCCAGTAGAAGGGCACCAATATGTCCTTTTCACAGATGAGGAGACTGAGGCTTAGAGCATGAGGTTGGCTGGAAATGACTGAGGCATTTAGAAAGAATGGGGTAGACCTGGGGTGATTTAGCCCTCCAGGGGATCCCTAGCACACCTGGAGGCCTCTCTGTCCAGAAAGGGTGTTACTGGCCTCCAGTGGGTTAAGGCTGCATATACTGCTGACCACTCAGCAATGCACATAAGAGCCCTCCAAAGAATGATCCTTCCTCAGATGTCACCCGAGCTTTGGTAAAAAACTCTGAGGCAGGTCCTATAAAACCAGGAAGAAACTGGAAGACATTTCAGGTGGAAAAACCAATTGCACAACACCTGTAACATCATGGATGCTAAAAATAAGAAGCCACGTGGACTCTGGCTGCTGGGGTGTCCACCTGAGAAGGGGATCTCTAGAGGGCTCAGGCTGGGCGCCTTCTGTTCTACAGTGAGAACACACTCGGACGGCACTGCCACATTCAAGACTCAGCCACCACTCAGCGTTGTGGCCTCGACGTCTCAGGATTCAACCAGCTGCGGACCAAAAGTATTTTTAATAAAACTGTGCCAGTACTGAGCATATATAGAATTTTTCTTGCTATTATTCCCAGACAAGAGCACAGCAACTGTTTGCAGAGCATTAATGCGGCGGCATCAGAGGCTCTGGGTTGCCCAGAGCCCACTCCAAATGTGTGGGAGGGTACGCCTCGCACTGCAAATGCCACACTATTCCACATGGGGTGTGAGCCGCCATCATCACCCTCAGGGCTCTGGAATCGATACCCCAGATACCAAGAGTTGACTGTGTTTTAAAGAAAATTAAAAGTTCTTCTGCTGCTCCTCCAAGGACACAGCCATGTCTGGACCTGGCTGTGAACTTGAGCCCGCACTGGGTGTGGGGCTGCCGTCTTCATTGACAAGCTGAGTGCCACACAGTGAGTAGGACTCTGGCGGGGCCTGGAGGCCAGGCAAGCTTGCGCGGTGACACCCAGCTGTGACCGCCAACGGCTCCTGTGGCTCAGATGCCTGGCCGATGGAATGAAGGCAACCAGCTCATGCTATGGGGGACTGGTACAGAGAATCACCTCGAACACTGGAGGACAGCTGCCCAAAGGCCAACATGACAAAGTAACTTGGGCTGGACAGAGCTCCGGGAGATTCATGGTCACAGTGACAGCGAAAGCCATGGTAACAAGGAATACTGAAAGGGAGGCTGCAGGACCCGGGGCAAGGGCTAGGCCTGCCACAAAGCTCTTCCCTGTTCGGAGGCATCCTGCAGTGGGGAGGCTCAGCCAAATTAGCTGGATAAATATAGGTGCCTTCACTGCCTTCTGCCATCTGTAAAACTCCTACTGATCCTGCAAAACACACCACGGGCTCCTCTCCCAGGTGGGGCTGTCACCCCAACCCTCCACACCCCTTGTCTATCTTGTGGTGATCCCATCTGTCCTCCTATAACAGACCACGAGCTCCATGGGAGCAGGGCCATCTCAGTCCCTGGGGATTCAAATACAGCGCGTTGTGTGCAGTAGGTGCAAGTCCATCTCTTCCTTCTCCCTAGCGAGAGCCACATTTCAATAGCTTAAAACTGCCCAGGTAGGTGATTTACTCCCAGTGGTGCATGTATCATTACTGAGCCCCTGAAAATCCCATCTTACTTTATACATGATAGGGATTACAACCCGGCTCTATCTGCAGACTAACTAGAAGACAGGCTCTGGGGTAAGAAAGAGATCGTTGACCTTTCTGCTCACATGGTGGTGGCCGTGCATAAACACGTCCCTGCCACCTCCTGCCCTCACCTCCTGCAGCAGACCCGGGCACAAACATGAGGTGTGCTGATCACCCAGCCTGCTGCGGTCCAGAGGGGCTCAGAAGTGCACAAGGGCGGGATGGCAGGAGCTTGGCTTGACGGAAAAGACAGCCCAAGCAGAGGAAGTCGGAGCTCTCGTGCTTCCCAAAGGACCTCAGCCTGGCTCTGGGAGGAGGGCAGAGGGTGATGTCGGGAGGAACTTACCACAATGATGTTCTCATGCTCCTGGGTGGTCAAGTTTGTGTTCTAAAGGAGAGAATGGAGAAAGGAGGAGGAAAACAACATTAAGAAATCAATATATTTGGATTTCCAAGGTCCACAGAGTCTCAGGTCCTTCGAGGGTGGCTGTCACTTTTTCTTTTGTTTTGTGGGGCAGGGACTGGAACCCAGGGCCTCGCGCATGCCAGGCAAGCCCTCTGCCGCCTGCCGAGCTGCCTCCCCAGCCGTCTCTTCCTAATTCCAGGGAGGACGTGACAGAGGACTGAGTCCACGTCCGTGTTTCACAACCACGTGGCCTGTAGGGTGGTTAGCTCTCCATGAGACTCAAGCTTCCAGGGGGCGAGTGGGGACCCTGCTAAGCACACCTCCTGAGGCTGCCGTGAGAGGACGTGGCGCTTGTGACAGCGACGCTGCCTAGAGCTGGAAGGCAGGTCGGGACACACAGAGAAGCACCTTCTTGAGTCTCAACTCAGGGCCGGGCAGTCTTTCAGAGCAACATATACTTTGTTTGTTTACCAAGTATTGAACCCAGTGCTTAACCTATGAACTACATCCCCATCCCTTTTTTATTCAGACAGAGGGTCTCTCTGATCCCGGCCTGACACACAGTAGGCGTGCAGCACGTGGAAGTGTCTTTCATTTTCTTCCTTTAAAGATTCTTATCCCTCTACTTGGGGGTCAGCAGACTCAGAAAGGCTGCCTTAAAGCCCAAGAGGAGCTGGCCACAGTGGCCACACCTGTGATCCTACTTGGGAGGCAGAGGTAGGAGGACCAAAGGTTCAAGATCACCTGCGCAAGATTTGCCTCAAAATAAAGAAATAAAAGGACTGGGGATGTGGCTCAGTGCTAGAGGGTTCAAGCCAGTACCACAAAAATAAAAATAAAACAAACAAATAAATGAATAAATAAAATAAATCCCAAGAGGGTGGAAGGCCAAGGGGCACGTGGCTACTGCGAACACGCCTGAGGTGGGCTGGAACACAGCCAGAGCGGGCAGCGAGGCCCGCCTGCCACCCCCGCCTCCTCAGGATGACGGGCCTAGCTGATCTGATTTGACGGTGGTGTCGTGGTCCAGCCTGGTGAGGCTGGAGGGCTGGGCAGTGTGGCCTCCAGTCAGAGCCAGGCAGCCGCCACCACTGGGCTGAGCGGGTCACTCGGTGCCCTGGCCTCAGGCCACGGTCAGGGAGAACGTGAGTGCCATAGGAGAAGCTGTACGTGTGGCCGTCAGCTTCTGACTGGCTTATGAAAGGTGAGCTGTTCTCCCCGCTCTGGAGAAGTGTGGATGCAAGGCTGGCACTGGGCACGTGGTCTGGGAACTCAAGACCTTGGTGGCAATTCATTTCTGAGCCTGACTTTCCCCTTTTGCAGAGCAAGGCTGTCCCTCACCTGAGAACACAGCTGTGCCCTCCCCCTGCGCCATTTCTGCTACCCACTCTCTACCTCCCAGCCCACCTTCTCCCAGCAAGGGACCCTCCGTTCAGCACTGCAGAGGCTCCTATACCAAGGGGTAGCAGCCTGGGCCTGCCAGAGTGGGCAGCAGGACAGAGGGCAGAGGGTGCAGGAAGCTCACCAGGAGCTGGCAGCAGTGACCCAGGAGGGAGGGGGCCAGAGGGACCACTCTGCTGGCTTATGACTCGTTCGACTCTGGGGTCATCAACTGCGGTATGTCCAAGGGCCAGGCAGGTCAGGCAGACACACTGATGTCTGTAAGCTCAGAACAGTACCTGCTCCCACGTGCTCCCTCCTGAGCTCTGGCAGGACTGACCCATGATCACCAGGCTCAATGGCACTCCAGGCCCACAACAGACCCTGGCAGGTGCACACGCTCCCAGTGTAGGGCTGTCAGTGGGCCGAGGAACCGGGCTGCTGAGCGACCAGTGACAGCCCCAAACTGCAGCTTTCTGACCGTTTTTAAAGAAAACCTGGAAATTCTCATTTTGTTGTGAAATCTGATTTTAAACATTTAGGCTGAGTGGGTGATGGGGTAGAAAGCTGACAGAGGCCAGGAGGAGTGACTGGGGGGGGGGGGCGCGCAGGCACGTCACCCTCAGGAATGACCAGGTTTCCAAAGCCAGCACCTTGAACCTGGGGAACTCCGTTGCTGCGGCTGTCACTGCCACCAGCCCTTCCCTCCTCCTGCTACACTCCCTGCGTGGAAGCAGCTGGACCAACACCCAGGACCATAGGGTGGGAGCCGCTCGCTCCCTCTGCGACAGGAGAGGACGCGCCTGGGAGCAGCCATGGCGTCCGCTTCTGGGACGGCGCTGGTGTTCAGCGGAGGTGAGGCAAAGGGCTTACAAGGGGACAGGGGTGCAAAATCACGCCAGGGGAGCGCCTTACTTCTGAGAGCAGTTTTGAGACAATTTCCAGTGGGGCTTGGTTGATGGAGTCATCCTGCAGGGGGGATGTGAGGGCCATGTCCACCAGCGTCCGAATCTCCTTCAAGACAACTTCCCAGCGGCTTGGGTTACTCAGGACTTTCTTGTATTTGTAAATCTTTTTCTGGGTTGTAGAGAGAAAGAGACAGACATCACTGAATTGAGGAGGGCAGAAGACACAAGCTGATTAAAGAATCCCGAGCATTAGGCTGCGCACAGGCCTTTGGGAGGGACCACCCTCCCCACAAGGAAGGGACACCTGGAGAAAGGAACAGCTTCATCGAGACCAGGTGCCTGCCGACAGTCAGCTCCAACCCTGGAAGAGCACTTCCCACATCGTTCCCACAATTTTAAAATGGCCCACAAAGGGGCTTTCTTTGAGTCAAAGGCATTGCTTCTGCAGATCCCAGGAGGTCCCTGGACAGTGGTGTTCAGCCACAGAACATGACAGCCCGGATGAGGGCCAGGACTTTGAGCCCAGTCAGGCGGGGCCGAGCCCGAGGCTGAGCATCCACCTGGAGAGAGACAGGAGCAGCTCACCTCTGCTCAGCACCAGCTCCCAAGGCCAGAGTGGCTGGGTGGGGGCTGCAGCCTGCACCTGAGGCAGAGTCGGTTCCGCCCTCTGACATCATGGAAACAGAGCGTGTGGCGGAGGTCCCAGCCGACGCTCCCTCCACAGCGTCTCCACGGCGGCCTGCCCCACTGCCCGCTTGCCTGGAGTCTGCCTGGATGAACTCCTTCATTAAGCGCGCCACTCCTTGGGGAAAGCCTAATTTTAGTGTCACTGAGCCAGCAACCAGCTGGGGTGACTTGTCACAGTTTCTGAGACAAAGTCTGAATGGGGGAAAGGGGAAGGAGGGGGGGAGGGTCCCCTACTGATAGAGGCTCCAACAGAAGCTAGCAGGCCACAGGCCTGAGGACACGGTATCAGCAGGGAAGTACTGGGAACATGCTCCATGTCACACGAACAGCCGGCACTGGGCGCAGCGTCCCCGGAACAGGCGCCCCTTCCATAAACTGGGCATGAAGATGCCTCTCAGGCCTTTAGTGTGTAACCCGTGGAAACCCTGCACCACGCGGGCCGTTCCTGCCGCAAGTGCAGTCCAGGCGGCACCAACAGGAAGAGCTCTGCTGCCCATCCATCTCTGAAACCTCGAGGCCGTGAAACACCCCACAGCAGTGAGAGCACGCTTCCCTTCCTCCCTCCATGTTTTTCGCCCCAGGCTTGTCCGGGGCCTCTGGGTCGCTCGTCATGCCCCACGGTGGCCCACACAGACGGCATCAGGTGTGTTTCTCCCCCCTCATCGCCGGACCTTGCTTCTAGCTCCCTCCTTCCTCATCCTCCCTGTCCTTCCGCCTGTCCGCCTGCCCCCTTGCTCTCCTCTTCCACGCTCCTGGCCTCAGTGCTCTTTGCCCGCTCCTCCATTCTACATGGGGATGAGGAAAGGGGCCCGAGGCCAGCAGGGAGGCAAGAGGGCAGTGTGCATCAGGAGGGCGGGAGGGCGGGACACCGAGCTCCAGGTCCTCAGGGACTGTCAGGAGCGCACAGCAAGCTCTGCTGGGGTGAACCAGTGTGAGCGTTCTACTCTAACAACAAGACACAGCTGGCTCCCCCGCCGAGGCTTCTCTGGAACCATAACCAGCAGCCTTCCTCCTTACCAGCACCTGAGCTGCCCCGCCCCGGTGTGGGAGCAGAGCGCTGCTATAAAACAGAACAGTCAAGGACCCAGCCCACTCCAGGAGGACGGCTCCCCCGAGCCCAGAGCCTGTGGTCTTAGTGTGTGCCCAGAGAGCTGCTTAACTTTTAAATGACAATGAAACGGTCACAAAAGTTCACCCTGCGTGAAGAGCCCAAAGCTATTTAGTGGGACTGGAATCTTCCCACAGAATGTTCTAGATCGGAGCATGGCCTGAGCTCTCAGAGCCCTCTCTGCTGATCAGCCGTGACTTACTTCTGAAAGAATAATGACTTCATTCTTTTTTGTGAAGATGATGCACACTCATTAAAAAAATTAAACATACCGAAAAGCACAAAGGAGGAAGACAGACTCAAAGGCCTCCACAATCCCACAATCCAGAAACAGCCGTCATGATGTCAGGTGAGCGTCCTCCCAGGCAACGTTCAGGGACATTCCGCAGAGTGTGACCAACTGTGGGACTGGCAGCTGCCACTGCAGCCTCCCACACTCCACAGAGACTCGGAGGCCTCCTGTCCGAGGCAAAGCAGGCCTGCACGACACCTGCATCAGTATGGCTTCAGGGACCAGCCCCACTGTCAAAGACCCAGCCTTAGCACTCATCGGGGGCCCTCCTCAGAGCAGGAAGGACAACGGCTCTCTGGCTCTGTGAGTGTCTGAGCCCTGGCTTCAGGGCAGCATTCCCAGTCGGGCGCTGCCCCTGGTGAGCTGGTACGACATGCCCGGCACGGTGCTAAGTTGACAAGCACTGTCTCATTCAGTTCTCACAGTGACCCTATGAGCCAGGGACTGGCCATAGGTTAAGCCCTGTGGAAGCAGACCCTAAAGCAAGAGACTGAGCACAAATGGCTTATGACTTGTGAAGTGGTAGGGTGGATGGAAGGGGAGGAGGCCCAGGAGCAACCCCATGAGGCTCTGAAATCTGAATGCCAGTAACCAGAGAGAGGAGGAGCCAGGGACGGGCTGTGGGAACAGCAGGCAGGGGCTGCACCGTGACGTCACAGATCTGGAGTAAGGGCAGGCCACTGTTTCAAAAGAGGCTCTGAGCCATGGCTTGGGCAGCCTGTCCAGGGCCACAAGGCCCCCATTTCTCGGGTGACAAATTAGCATATCTCTTCCCAGGAACTCTGATGAGCTCACCAGGCGATGAATCATGCTCTCAGCTTGGCAACATGGTCCTCCCCCAGCCCTCTCTGCCAGCGGGGGGGTGCGGGGGGTGGCCTTGTAGTTTGTCTGGTGTGGCTCCCATGGACACCGGATCCCTGTGAGCTGGGAGGTTGGGTGGACGGGGCCTTGGAACAGCCTTGTGGCTGGTCACACAACAGGTGTGAGGTAGAAGGGAGCAGACTAAGTAGGGTTGGCAAAGTACAACGTGTGGCTCCCTCAGCCCAGCCCCTGCCTGTAGTCCCATGAGGACAGATGGCCTTACGTTCTTTAAGAGTTGTGACATAAAAATAAAAACCTAAAGTATATGCAACAGAAATTGAATGTGGCCTACCAAGCCCCAAATATGTGCTATATGGACTTTTATAAAAAACGTTTGCCGGGACTTGGGTCACAAAGTCAAATCTCTGCCCAGGAGTGATCGTGAAAAAAGATGCACGAGGTCATCAGCCCTCAGGCAGAGGCAAGTTAAAACATAAAGACACACCATCTCACCCTTGCCAGGACAGCCGCAGTCGAAAAGATAATACCAAGTGCTGGCGATGATGTGGAGAAACGGGGCCCTTGTGCTCTGCTGCAGGGAAGGTAAACTGGGCACACGTTCACAGCCTCTTAAAACACTGAACACAAGCTTCTCACGTGGCTCAGCCATTCTGTTCAGGGAATCTGCCCAAGAGAACAAAGACCTGCCCACAAAACTACTCCCGTGCCCATCAATGAAGGAGCAGGTAAGTAAGACCAGGTACAGCCGACAGACAGCGCTCCCAACACAAAGGACGGAGCTCACGACGCTGCATCGTGGGTGAGCCTCACCCACCACATGAGCAGAAGAAGCCAGACACAAAGGACATACTGTAGATTCCTTTTTATGGAATGTCTAGGAAAAGCAAATTTGTAGGCAGAGAGTGGCCCAGTCGCTGCCCAGGGTTGTGGAATGGCAACAGGGATTAAATGACAGATAAGCCCAAGGACATCTCTGGGTGTGTGATGGGCACGACTCTAAATTTACTAACACACAAATTCCACATTTACAAGTTTTATGGGATGTAAATTATGCCTCCAATAGGCTATTTCTAAATGACATCTTAGGGTGTAGATGTGGAGGTCATCAGACAAAGCCAAGGCCAGCAGGTTTGGTGTTGAAGAGTCCAGGATCTGAAGCAGACTTTGGCTCAAGTCTGTGCTTTATTTCATCCACCCACCCACCCATCTGTCAGTCAGTCACTCATCTATCCATTCACCATCCATTCATCCACACATCTCCCCACCCACCCACCCAGGCTATTTGGCGCCATCCATTATGATAGGCCAAGCACTGTGCTAAGCACTAAGACACCCAGGGCCAGCACAGCAGACAGGTCCTGGTGCTCGTGAGACTTACAGTCTGACTGGCACCTCAGTTTCTCTATCTGCAGAGCAGGAAAAGAGTAACTACTGTCAGAGGCTTGCCGTGATTATCCACTAAACATGTACACCTAAAACAGCCCACTTCCTGGATAAGCAGCAACTAATCACCTACCCGGCCCAGGAGTGAGCAGTCCAGAGCAGGCAGGACTCGGAGGGCTCCCAGAATCTGTGACTCAGTCCCACAGCTAACGACAAACAGAGGCAGCAGGAAGAGCCTCCTGCTTCCCGTCTGGCAGAGCCAGCCACTCCATTGCTGTCCTCACCCTCTCCGCTTGTCAGGGAAGGGACGTTACCTGGGCAACACCCGCCATCTCTCTGGTAACAGCTCCCGCGGCAGAAGCAGGCACAGACTCCGGAATTCTCAGGCCTGGGAAAGCGGAGCTTGTGGGTTTTCCTCGGGAGGCAAGCTGTCAACAGGAACGTGCCCCTCGCCAGGAGAGGCGTGGCTCCGAATGTACTGGAAGCGGGCCTCGCGAGGATGGGGCTGCGGCTCTGCTGCGTGGTGCAGCCTCTGAGGCTCGCACACACACCAGCACGCATGCTCCCACCTGTCAGGGAGAGGACGCCACACGGATGCTCGTGGAGCTGCGGAGGGGAGGAGGACCCCGCAGACAGGAGGCGGCAGGAGTCTCGGCCTGGCTTTGACTATCTCCCCAGGGCACGTCCTGGGTCCTAGAGCACAGCTCCGGTCAGAAAGCCACTGGCCCAGGGACTGCTACCAAAGAACTTCACTAGAGTGAGCTAAGACTAAGCTCCAGTGCCATGCCACCCTAGTCGCACGCAGTTGCTAGTGGCCACCACACTGGATGACACAGAGAACACTTTCATCATGGTGGAAAGTTCCATTGGGCAGTGC